GAAATGTTGCAGAATGAATTGAAAATCATGTTGGCAAAATGTATTACAAAAATAGTATAACATGTAGGTACATAACATAAAGGTAATACAAATTAAATGATTAGAGCGTGTATATTTTGTTACATTGTAGGTATATTGTAATCATTTTTGTCATTGTTGGAAATTTTGATAGTTTGAAATTTGATAGTTTGAAATTTGATAGTTGATAGTTTGATGCTTGAAAATGTTGGCACTTTATTTAGTTAAGGTGATTCGTAGAAATAGTTACTCCAAAAAATCATGTTAGAGCAGAGAAGTACGGCAATGACGTAAGGACGTTTTCATTGCCATACTGCAAGGAAAAATTTCCGTCCGCAATCCGAGCAATTCCAAAAGGAAGAAAACATATATATAAAGAAAGAATGATCACATAGAAACATTCACATACAAATCCATCCCTACCGAATATGTGAATAGCTTCGACATCATCTTGAGATACTATTCGGAAATCTTCAAATTTAGACGACTCAGCTTCATGCAAAACAAATATCAAAAAACGAATTTAGAAAATTGGTGCCCTCCGATCTGAAATCACTTTATAGACCATTGAAAAGCCCTATGCAAAATGTCAACTTTAAAATCGAATTTTTAGGGGTCCCGCCCGCATTGGCCCTAAACGTCAACGTGAATATTCCATGAGAATTTGCCAGAAATTGTTCAACGATGATTTTCTTGGCGGGGTGTGACAATATTATTGATTTTCTTTTTTAAAATAAGGGCGTTAAAGTTGGTTTGAGTTAAAAAGATTCCTGCTTGGCACAAAAGGCTAGGGTTGACAGAAAATCCTTCGGCGCGTGGGGAGTGCGGCGAGTCTGCAGAAAGGAAACCTCGATGTTCCCGACTGAGCACCAAACAGTTGGCGATGGAAATTCGCAGGATGGAAATTTCATATGAATAACGTAAAAATAAAATGACAAAAAAAACATACGTGAGCAGTTGCGGAATTTCCCGTTTCCACACGAATGTTCACGAACAGAACTCTCCGACCGCTGAGAAAAATCCGGCAACACCGCAACACTCGAACAATCGGGACGGTAGCCGTAGAAACGCTCGTTCCGTATACAACAAAAGGGCGACCGAGCTCCGGTCGTCGTTTCAGAGTAGACCATCAGAGTAGCCGCGACGCCTACGCGGTGGGACTCGCGGCGCCCCCCCCCATGCCAAAGCCGGCCGAAGGCCAGCTCCGCCGAACGCGCAACGAATGAAGGGACCGCACGGCAAAAACGCGGCTCCGATCGACCGACGAGGAGGGCGCAGAAACGGATTTCCCAGAAACGTTCGAAGGGCACCAGCGCCTCCCCGGATGGCCGGATCACGATACCCGCCCTTATCGGACGTCGGCACCGTAGGACCCGTCCGCCGACGGAACCGCGAGCCCGCGGGACGAACGGGGAGGTACGAAGTGACCGTTACAAGGAATCGACCGACGAAACGGTCCGAGGGGCACCGCGCCCACCCCGGGAGTTCGGGGTCGAAAATTCAGCGGGGACGGGACGCCGCCCGGCCGGGGGCCCCCGCTGACCGAAACTCCAGGCCGCGGGCCGAACGTGACGGGAGCGGTGGCGGTTTTTCCGAAAACGGTCGCGGGGCCCCAGCGCCCCTCCCGGGTCGCCGGATCCGAAATCCGACCTTATCGGACGTCGGCACAGTAGGACCCGTCCGCAGCCGGAACCCCGAGCCCGGGGGACGAACGGGGAGGTACGAAGTGACCGTTACAAGGAATCGGCCGACGGAACGGTCCGAGGGGCACCGCGCCCCCCGGAAGCGCAAAAAAACGAAACGGCCGGAGGGACAAGGAGCCGATAGCCGGGACGCGACCGCACGTGGAAGCGCGACCGGAAAGACGCGCGCCAGGCCGAGGGACGGGCGAAAAACGGAACCACCCCCGGGGCCCGTAGCAACCCCCCTGGGGGTGGGAACGGGAAAACCCGCGGGGGGAACGGAGACCCGGCCGCGGGGGGTCCGCCGAACGAACATCAAGGGCGCGGGACGCGCTGGGACGGCGTGGCGGGGACCGATGTTCAGAGGGTCGCGGGGTAAATCGTATAACTTTATATAAGAGATGGACCAAGTAGCGTCCAAACGGGAAAGTTTATTGAACAAATTCCCTGCTGTACGTAAAATTGTCAATAAGTATCAAAAAGACTTTTAGAAATTGTTTAAATGCTTAAAATTGATGCGTTTATCTCAAACCATTTGAAAAGGGCCTATTTCGTCTCATGTTAGGCAAGACATCAGTACTTGGTATATTCTGCATGCTTGCGTGCTTGCATTTTGAACACATGCCTATAACAAATTTTAAGGTGGAAACTCGCATAAAATGGCACCATTTTAAACAAGACAGCAGAGAGTATGCGACTGTCTCGCGGAATAATGTGGACTAACTGCTGTTTTGTCTGAAATGTCGTCAATTTTGTGCAGTTTCTGCTTTTCCTCAACTCTCGTTTATCGTAAGATGAATTTTACTGATTCCTTTAAAAAAGCTCGAGCCTGTTCATTCGACTTATTGTTAGATCAGTGTAATTTTGAAGGAACCTCGCGATTTCGAGAATTTGGGAGTTAGGTACTGCTTTCTACAATGAAACGGCAGAATAGACGTCTAACTCGGTGCTCAGAAACTTTATATATTGATGACGAGTTTGATCAATGAAATATCATACACCCACCTTCAGGTCTCGTCGTACGATTAGGTCTTTTTAGACGTTAAATTTTCCTTGGGTAAGCTTTATTCACTTACCTACAGGTAAGTAGATACTTGATGACTGTAATTGAAAATGTCTTCAATCGCTGACTCAAAATTAATTTGGTTTTACACTTAACCATTTAAATTGATTCTGATGTTTCTTTTCAGCAGTCACTTATTGTTTCAGATGTTACTTGCTAGTCCCAAGTAGCATTTTTCAACGGAAAAATGACGATATTTTGAAGCCTCCAGGACTTTGTGTCCACCTACCTTTCGTCCATTAAATAAATGTCCACCGCTATGTATGTCTACTAAACGTTAAGTCCAGTCTTTATTAAGGCAACATGATTTAATGTCCAACCATGAATAAGTCCAAAATTGTCCAAATTGTGGACATGTTATGTCCACATTTTTTTCTTCTCATTTAAATGACAGGAACCACCTCAAAAATAAATGCATACTACTACTACCTTCATTCTTAAAAACATTTCATTCATGAATAAGAACAGACTCTAAGAGCAGATAAAAACATATGTTCATGTGTACACTGTACGGATATGATACGCTGAAAACCAAAGCGGGAGCCTAGGAAACGCTCCAATGCCAAATTAAACATTTTTCAGTAACAGATGCAGTCAAAATTGAAAGTCCTCTTTAGCTAGTTATTTCGTGCGCCTTCAATCTTGCAGGATACTGTGCAACGCCTCTGACGCGAAATAGTTGCTTAAAGCGTTGCGGCAGGCAATCAGCGTGACACGCGCATAGGCGCCTACAAACCTAACGGGATACTTCACGCGTTGCGCAATGCGTGAAGTATCCTGTTAGCTTTGTAGGCGCCAGTGCGCGTTCTGCGCTGCTAACACGCCGCTCCGATCTGTGTTAGGCTCTAATATTTAAACTCGCGGAGTCAGCGTTTTTCAACTCATAATTTTGAAATGTTTGAAAACTCTGCATGAATTATTATTATTTAAATTGATGAAAAAGAAATATGTACTACTGGAAAATATAATGTATTTTTTGTAAATATAATAGTGGTTCCGTATTAAATTTAATGACTTCCACAGCATTCAAATTTATTCTCTTATGTTTTGGGCTTTTACTGTGCTGCAGCGTGGTGTAAGCGCAACCAAACGCTCAAAATTGGACGTATTTGACTCAAGGAGGTCGATGTACAAATAAGTTAAAAACAAAAAATTGCGTGCTTCTTAGTTTTTTTCCTCTTTTATTAATTTTTGTATAGTTTCTTTCATCACAACTACGGCTCATTGAGATTCATATCGATGCCATTGCTTGGAAGAGGTTTTACAAATATTTACCTCGTTTTAAAAATGTACATGTTTTTAAAATGAAGTGATCAATTTCATTAAAAAAAAAGAATGTACATTTAAGGCATATTTCATATCGGAAATTTCAAGGATAGAAATGAAACCAAGTATTTACCAAAGACAATTTGAAAAGATGAATCAAAAGAAGAAATTAACATTTCATTTAAAATATGAGTTACGATAACAACACCTCATTCTCTCTTAATTTTCTCATTTCGATATTGTCAATATAATTTTACACATGGACTAAAATATGACGCTTGAATTTGATTTTAGTGGACATTACATTTGTGGACTTAACTTAGTGGACGTTTAAGTAATGGACTTAACAATAGTGTGGGCTTTAGAACTGTGGACGTAAAAATTGTGGACAAAAAGTCTGTGGACCGGAAAAAAAGTGGACATAAAGTCCGTGTACCATTTTGAAATTAAGTTGGGATTTGTTCATGATTTTGTCGCGATAAAATCGCTAAGATAATCAAATTTGAGCGATTATCCTCAATCTTGCCTTAATATATCTTTATAAAATCGCGTCAGATAAAATCGAGATTTGATTTCATAACGACTTCTTTATCAATAATATTGCAATAAATCGACGTCGATAAAATCGCGATACATTCTCCGATCAAATCGCAACTAATCGTAATCACTGCTAAGTGGGGTTAGTTAGATGTTACTGTTCTTCAATTACATCAGTTCTTGGAAAGGCAACCAAGACCTAATCAACGGATTCACTTGCAGTCACATGAGTGGCTTCTCCTTCAATAAAGAAATAAAACTCTCTCTCGTTAAGTGAGCGGAGGGAAAGTTTAGAAGGCACGGAAAGTTGGTGCATTAAATACAAGTTAGTTTTTAGCAACGGTGCTTCAAATCATATTCATTTGTAATGTATTACGTATATCTGTACGTGTTAAACAAAACAATTTAAACATGTTTTTTTTTCTGGTTCACAGGTTGATTTCTTACGAGATGATCACGCTGTAGATTATAGCCTTCGAACCTGTCGAAGAAATAATTTAAACTGTTTCGAAGTTTTAAGGAAAAAGAGCTCTTTCAAAAATGAAGGGGACGCTGGTTTCAACTGCCTTCATTACGTCTGATTCGAACTGTCTCTGAAAATCCTGCTAACTTGATACAGCATTTCGGTTAGTATATCTTTAGTTTTGTACTGCTTTATTTATACTTACTCTCCCCTTTGAGCCACCGTATATATATATATATTTATTTTTAAACAAATGCACTTGACAAAGCCGTTCTGATTTACAAGGTTACTTTCCTCTTCCCTTTTTCTTTTTTATGCGCTGTATATTTTTAACTCGGAGTCAGCAATAAAAAAATTGAATCTGATATAGCGGGAACACACTTCTTAATTTAAAGTATGAGTTTTTGGTGTACTTATTCTGATGATTTGAAGCTAGTCTCATCTATCTCATTCACACAATATTGAAATTGCGGCCAAAAATTTTGCTTTCATGGTGAAGTAAATAAAAAAATCGCCTAAACAACATAATTACATCCGAATTTTTACAATTTATACATCCAAAATATTCTTGTTCTCTAATGTTCTTATTAGAGAAATTCCTCCAACCAGAAGTAAATCCAATCGCTGCGAATTTTCCACGCTTTCCATGTATGTAGACGGACAAAAAATCACCATGAATTTAAATAAACGGGGATCGTTGCCAACTTTAGAGATTGATATCGCCTGCTGAACTTCTTCCCGAATCGCTATAATAGAGAGCTACGCTGAAAATATTTTCTTCGAGTGTAATGAGCAAAATCGATTCAAAAACTTATCAAGCATGTCTAGCCATAATATTCAAAGTGTCGGGATGCCACATGAAAACGAGAACTCATGTTTATTCATTTCAAGTCACAGAATTGCAATTTCCGCCATTTTTTTAGGGTATGAGGCAGCCACTTAAAACCGCAGATGGCTGAGTATATCAGAGCTAGTTCTCCCACATGAGTGGAGTAAGGACTTAGTCCACCCGTGTGGATGTGAGGGTGCGCGCGTGTGTGTGTGAGGGGGGCACTTAAAGACACCCCACGAAGGGTGGTCTGTGGGACTTCCCCAGTTCTAGGGGAGGGTTTGGGGAATTTCCCTTGTTTCAAAGGGAATTCCGGGGGGAGGGGGGAAGGGCCCTCTCCATGAAAAAATTGAAAAATTTAGCCGTCTCAGGAGCAATTTTGAGTTGTTCTGACTGAAAAATCGATCAAATTACAATTTCAAATATAGCAGATCTATCCCGCACTTTCTCAGCACAATCCTCCACGCATTTAGCGAGAGGGTCGAGTAGATCTCTACGGGGGGCCAGCGGGCTGATTATTGAAATTGATAGACAAAATCATACGCAAAAAAGACAAAAGGGATGCGGGGGTATCCTATTGATGGAAGCTCATGGTTCCAAAGAATAAAGGAGGTTTGTAATAGATTATAATCAACCCACAGGAAGCTCCATAGTTAGTCCATCATTTGCTCCTTTAGTTTGTAGGGATCGCCCATTTTTACCAATAGGAACGATTCATACTCCCTATGTCTTCTTTGTCTATAGCTTTGCCTATCAATTTCAATAATCAGCCCGCAGGCTGCCTAGGCCCATCTTTCATTATCTATACACTCACCTCTTAGGTAAGCTATCAGTTCGAAATCTGTTGGACGTATGTAAAAGCCGCTTTTAAAGCGCCCACCTGGCGCTCTGCGACACCTAGCCGCCAAAGTCCCCTGCAGGCCGATTATTGAAATCGATAGACAAAGCTATAGACAAACAAAAGAGATATGGAGAGATTTTATTGGTTGCAATAGACAAAGGAGGTAGGTGATAGAGTATAAACTAACGGCAACCCACGAGAGACCCGAAAGTTAGGTTCAAAATGATAGTTCGTCTCCTCACAAAAAGTATCTAATCTTGCCTATTTCTTGTTTCTGCAAAAAGTTGAATAATAATACAATGATTGGATATAGTTAAAAATTGATAGCTTGGTTTTTTCCTGGTTTCTTGGTCTCATTTTATCCTTTAGTCTATAGAAACCACTCATTTCAACCAATACGATCGCTCCTTACTCCCGAGATCTTCTTTGTCCATCGCTTTGTCTATCAATTTTAATAATCAGCCCGCTGTCTTCACAGATCCTTTCAGGGCGTTGGCGCTCCCTCATTTCCTCTAAAACCCCCTATACTTTGGGATCTGTAGGATCCCATCCGTAGGATATCTTTCGTATTGTTTAATTGAAACCCGACCCATTAACTGCTGATTTCAGATGACGGAGGAATTGACCTCAGACAAAACAGTGAACTTGGACGACGCTCAGCCGATCGACTTGAGCAAGAGCTCGAGAGCCTTGTTCCAGGAGCGGATCCGGAGGGAGAACCATCGTCCGGTCCCTCAGCTGATCCCTTTGAGCCTCCTGCCATCCCTGTCCCTGCAGCGGCAGCCGCGCGGGGCTCACAAGGATCCCGAACGCCCGGGTCTCGCGCGATCCGAACATCCGAGCAAAGGAGAGATGAGCGTCCACTCCGCTCGGAGCAAGAGCAGACTAGCCAGGGTGAAGAGTTGCCCGTACCTCTACCAGAAGCGGATGCGGAGGCTTTCGGCGTCGCAGAAATCGAAGAGCGATTCGCGGATCTCGCTGACGTCCAGTATATCGTCACCGCCGTCGGTGTTGTCCGTCTCCAGCTCGACGCAGGCCACGACTTGCGCCGTGAGCACCAGTAGTGATAGATTAAGCAGACTCTTCATTAGCGCTGACAGTCGCCCCTCAGATCAGGTATGTGGCATGGATAAAAAAAGGAAGCGGTGCACGGAAAAAAACTTCGTGCGTGGGACCCGAAGTTTAGGTCGTATGGATCTCTGAAGTTTTCGGATTGAGCATCTGAACACTTTAGGTCCAGCAGCTGAGGTTTGGATCAGACATCTGAAACTTCAGTTCTTACATCTGAAGTACTTCAGTTTTCACATCCGAAAAACTTCGGTTCTCACATCTAGTGTGTAGTGTGTGTGTAGTGTCAGATGTAAGAACTGAAGTTTCAGGTGTGTGATCCGAACTTCGACAGCTAGACCTAAAGTGTTCAGATGCTCAATCCGGAAACTTCAGAGATCCATATGACCTAAACTTCGGGTCCCACGCACAAGGTTTTTTTCTCCGTGTAGTATCTTGACCTCGTGACGTAGTTGGGTCAGAGACCGACGACCCTCCACTGGCCTCTTCGCGACAGTTGGAAGCTTTTACTTTCGGGGATTCAACACTCCCTTATGGACAGTTGTAAGGTAGCAACAGTCATCACTTTTTTCGGCTGTTGAGGTTGACCTACCTACATGGTGGATGATGAGCTTCGGGTGATATCATGAGCTAGACAAATTCCCTAAACTTTGGCTTGTTTTGGCTAAAACGAAACTGCCAACACGTTGTTAAACATCAACCATGTAGGTAAGTCAACAGTTAATTGAGAAAGTCCCGAAAGTAAAAGCTTTCATAATAGCCGAGATACGAGTGGAGGGCAGGTCCGGATTAAGGGGTTGGCCACATGGGCCGCGGCCCATGGCGGCAAATTTAGGGGGGCGGCAAATGTTGTAATTTTTTCAAATGTAGGTATCAAGAAAAAAAATCTGATTCAGAAAAAAAATTACAAACGAGAAAAGGCGAAAAAAGCTTTCATTTCCTGAGAGTTAAAGTATAGTAATTTCGAATTTGTTCGTCTTTCGGTGATACAAGAGGCAGAGGTTGAGAGAAAATCCAAACACGCAATATGGTCCGGAGCGGCGCGGCGCAGAGAGCAATGATGGCGAGGACTTGAGATGGAAAGGAGAAGCCCTCGGCGTGGCGGTCGGCATGTAACACATATTAGCGCCTACAAGACTCCATGAATACTTCACGCATTGCGTCAAACGTAGTGCGGTCAGCAGCGATCGGCGCGTGAAACGCATAGCGCCTACAAGACTTTAGAGATACTTCACGCATTGCGCCAAACACAGTGCGCTTGGCGCGGTGGTGGAAATTAAAATACTAAACCACATTCATGTTTATTCTTTCATAATTTTTTCGTTCTTTTCTCATAAATGAAAGGCCTCGTCCACACAGAGATAGGTTTACGGAACTTAATTTAATAAGTAGTAAAGTCTTAAAGTATTTGATGTCCAAGTACAGGCCTCCTCAGCTCATAGTCATTTTAAGATTGCAGATTTTGACACTCACTGCTCTACACCAACGACCAAGACCAACCCGTACAGGTCAGCCATTCCCGTGCACAAGTTTTGAGACCCCACTACTCATTGCGGCCAGAAGAATAAACGCAATGCAATTTTTGTAGACGGTGGGGAGAGGAAAGGCAGCCATTGCTACTTTTGGCGGGGTAGCCAATGAGCCAATGAGATATGATCGCACGAGTAACTGTGATTGGCTACTTTGGCGATAAAAGTTAGTACCAATCCACTGGGAGCAGTGCGTCTTGCGCTCATCCCTCATTGGCTGAAGCCGAGTAGAATCGGGCGCAGAGAATCTAAAGATTGTACACGTCATGTGAATGAAACATAAGGCAACTCAAAATGACTTGTCCAAATATAGGTAGATTTATTATTAAGAATGTCGTCTCGATAGCAATTATAACTGTTAACGGTGGCCCATCCCATGGTTAACCAGCCCTGATTATTAGAGAGGTGAAGTTCGGCTTTAAACAACGTCTTTTCACCCGCCGGAAAATGAGAATCAATGAGGCACGAGGCATAAAGAACATTTTAGAAGTTAAATACAATCAACAGTAAGCTAAACCTCATGTATTATCAAGCAGAAAACATGCTATCCTGCACTTGCATTGAATATTATACGATCAACGCTCTCTGGTGGCGCAACAGTGAACCGTAAGGCGCAACAAGCTTTCCCTCTCCTCCCGCACCCTTCATCGAAGCCCCTTCGCGTGGCACTTGTCGCCACTCTGTCTGGCGCTACCTCAAACCCTTTGTGCCACGCCGCAATCTCAGGAATTTGCGGAAGCGTCGGGAACTAGAGCATTTGATTTCGGTTCCGAGAACTGATGTCTCTTATTTGTTTCTTCCACTTCTGACCCAGTGACCACCCAAGTCGATGTAGAGGAACCCATTTACACCCTTCCCCTTAAGCGATTTTGGCGTTGTTAACATGGTTACCCGCTGATTTTCGACGCTGAGCTCAGATATTGGCTGTATATGACGTTCTTCCCTTGCACGGCAGAATGATGGATACGTTTACTTCTGAGACTGCATCATTCAAATGTTGACCTATCTCCTTATTGACAGTAAGTTAGAAATGGACGTATTTCTGTCAAACGGAACTAAGCGCTATAGGGGGATGAGTGTAGATGGGGGTTTGGATTGGTGGCGGAACCGGGCGTCGGGCTCATTCGTTCCTATACTCGCAATGCTTTTCCATGGCGCTTAGTTCTGTTCGACAGAACGCGCTATCCGGGATTCTAAATTCCTCAAAAGGAACTAAAATTGGCGCTTAATTCCGTTTGGCAGAAGTACGTCCAAATGTAGCCAACGTGCGTTAAAATCCAGAAAACTGGAAATCTCAATATACAATTCTTGTAAGAAATCTTTTGTATTGAGATTTCTATTGAGATTTTTGTTTTTTGTTTTCTATTAGAAATATAAATAAATTAAATTGATCTTGTTACATATTTTTTGTTTCTACAATTCTAGGGACTCGGTATGGAGGACGAAGAGAGACTAGGTAGATTATCGAGCTCTGAAAGTTATCGATACGCGCATGAATCGGCCTTAAGACCCATTTCAGGCGGCGAAAATGCTCGTCGGGTAGCTGGTGTCAGCCCGTCAACAATAAATAGTCTTAGGAGTTTCTTGCAAAGAAAGCAACAAAACCATGCATCCGATCCTAGTAGCTCAGGTAAGATTTTGCTTCACTCTTTTCAAATTGTAAACTTGAGTTAAGGTGATTCGATGGACTCCATATTTTGTGTCCGAACGGCATGCGATATATCGCATCAATTGGTTCCGTTTTTTCAGCTACTCGTCATTTTTCTCCTATTTTGAGATCGCAATTCTGTTGTCAGGAGACTAAAGCACTCACTAACCAATTTTAACAAAGAAATTCAACGTAATAAAGGCGTATGGGTTTTTAAGAGAGAAAATATCGCATTCGAGTGCAGTTTCGATATTAGTATCGAATGCGATGTTTTCTCTCTAAAAAAAACCACACCTTTATTAGGTTGAATTTCTTTGTTAAAATTGGTAAGTGAGTGCTTTAGTCTCCTGACAACAGAGTTGCGATCTCAAAATAGGAGAAAAATGACGAGTACCTGAAAAAATGGAACCAATTGATGCGATATATCGCATGCCGTTCTGACACAAAATATGGCGTCCGCCGAATCACCTTAAGGCATTTGTGGTGATCAGGGCGAGCCGACTATTTAAATTGATAGACAAAGTTATAGACAAAGAAGATAAAAGGGATATGGAGGGATCCTATTGGTGGAAGCAGGTGGTTGCAATGTACAGAGGAGGTAGGTAAGAGACCAACCAACGGCAATCCACGAGAGATCCTACAGTTAGTCCAGCATTTTCTCTCTTAGTCTATAGGAACGACGCACACGGGGTCGAGTCAATCAGAGAAGTCGGACATGAAATTTTTGACTAAAACTGTAAATTTTGATGTTGATTTCGTCACATTTTAAATTCTAAGAGGTGTTTCTAGAAGAAAATTACACTGGAAACCCAATGGAGCCAGTTTTAGAACCTTGAAGTTTTCTATAAACGGAGTTATAAGCGTTTAAAGTTTCCAAATTTTGTTCGACCTCTCCTATTGACTCGATCCACTGTGCGACGCGTTTCAACTGATATGATCGCTCCATTCTCCCTATGTCTTCTATGGCTATCGCTTTGTCTATCGATTTCAATAATCAGCCTGCAGGTTTGATTTTTAATAGGTGCCAACTCCCTGAAGGGCTGTGGGAGGACAGAGTACTGAGGCGATTACGTATCGCAGAGCGTTAGAGAGCGCTGTGAAAGCAGCCCTAATGTATGCATAGTTCAAGCAAATATTTTAAAAACTGTCGCAGTTGGAAGCATGCATTTTTTTCTTTTTTTTTAGAGGAAAAAGAATGAAGTTCATAAAAAATGTCATTTGAATTGAGATGACTTTTATAGGAGAAAAACATCCACGAAATTTTCTACGTACAATGTTATTTATGCATCTTGGCCTCCATTGCATCTACCGAATAATTAACGAGCCACATTTTTAGAAAATTTTAACGATCCCAGAGATCTTAAGTAACTGAAAAATACACACAGTCGACTTAGTTTAGAATTTACATGAAAGTAATAGTCTTGCACTTTTTCCATCAATATCAGTCAATTGGATAATCTTTCAGTTCAGTTAGCCCCCCCCCCCCCCCCNATTTCATCCCTCTGTTACTAAAAGAAGGTACAGCCTCTCCACAATTAATTGTGAATGTATCCAACTAACGTATTATTTCTGTTTTTTCTCAACAGATTTCAACAACAGCTGATAATGGATACAACAGAGACGAGCCTTTCAAAAATGAGCTTGAAGCAACCAAAATATCAATCAAAAAGTTCCTGAAAACTCTTATCCTGTTCCTTATTCAATACAGAAAACTTTTTTGGAGACAAAATCACATTTTATGAATGTGCTTATCATCATAGTAGCAATATAACTTTCTATCAGATGAAAATAGTCTGCATTTGTATTTTATTGGAAAGTGAAATCAGATACATATTGTTCGGCTAAATTTGGCTCTTCCTAAAGGAACGAAAATACATATTAAATACCATAGATTCACACTCATTGAGCGCAAATGGAGAATAATATGCTCTTCAAATTCAAGAATATTATTTGATTCGAAATGAGCAATTCGCGGTTCTTTCAAGGTATCTATTATGAATCTCGTTTGTGCAGAACTAGTCTTAAAAACACACTAAGTGAAAAATTACACGTAGGGTTTTTGGGGGAGGGAGATGTCCAAGAAGTACAAGCAATTTCCTCGCACTCGATGAGAATTATAATATTTCTCAAAGGATAGTGAAAATCATAAAACTGATGGAAGTTAAAAATCAAAAATGTGTACTTAATTACTCATATTTGGAGGATACTGAAGCAGATTTGCACATAATAAGTAAATTGGATCTACATGCAGACGATTTAACTAGATCCGGCCTAACTGCACAATGTCTGATTTGCTCTGTATTTGACAATAATAATCAAACACTATACTATATAATGCGTCCAGATGTTTTAGAGATGTCCCTAACATAATCATATTTGTATTAAGTCTCTGATCAGGGTGTTGCTTACTTTTTGGTGAGAAGAAATACAATCCATGGCGAGGAGGAAAGCAACGTATGATGTAGGTATTTGGGCTAGTAGTGGTTAAATCGTCCAATTCACTATATAAATTATTATTACTTTCATCCTCGAATCATCTAAGTTTATAGGTTCGATTGAGTTCTTACTGAGTAAAATTTACTTTGCGTTTCCTCCTGCAGTCTTTGTAAGAGCTTCTTAGTATTAACACATACACAAACTGTATGAATTCTTGCCGAAAACGTCTCTGAACTGGATTACTCACTTGAACAGCATCGATAATTTATACTCCTCGCATTGCGATAGTGGTGCAGTACTCAGTTGTTATAAGGCGGCATAAGCACCACTTCGTAGCCTCCTGTCTGATAGTCATGAAATCAAAAAACAAAAATAATAATATGGACCAAAGTTAATTTATATTTAAAATTCTGTAATACAAGAAATTACTTTATTGCTGCGCTTTATTTATTTATTTTCCCATCCTTTAATCCCTTACCTTTGTCGTATGTAGTCTACATATTTGCGTCGAAGTTCTTGATATCCAACCCATAGATAAAACATGTTTTTAAAAACTCCTTTAAAAATTGATTATAAATGGAGCAAGTGTGCATATGCACTAAAATATCAAAAACTGATCCAAGACATAGGGACGAATTTTTTGGTGTCCTCTTAATAGCTAGCTTATTAATACGAAAATGTTAGCTATATAAGTGAACATTATGAAATGTTTAAAGTTAATTTGTAATAATGACGTCAACATTCATAAAAGAACCAGTACATTAAAAACACTTTTTCAAAAAGGTCCCCTTGCCTTGACATTGTGCTCTGGGCTCTGGCAATAAATTATTAGATAATTCTGCCAGAATCTACAATATATTAGTGCGGTAAAAAATGCGAATTCTTCGCCTCCTAACTTTTGATTTCAATTGGAACAAGAGTGCCTATGCACTAAAATATCAAAAGCTGATTCTAAACAAAGGGACGAACCTTTTGGTGATCTCTTAAGCTCAGCCGTGGTGAAGATTTAGATGCAGCATTTCCTGAATCTTGTTTTGGACTCCAGGTTAGAGCCTCGTAGGTTTGATTCCGCAACATGGCCATTAGTTTATTTATTTGCTGAAAGTAGAAAATCGTGCATCAACTAATTAAGAGAAAACTTCAGACCTGAATTAAGCTTGAACATTTGGTTTAAGCAAGGTTGTGCCTCAAACTCCGCTACATGCAACCGAAATTATCTTGGCTCTTTGTGCCAAGCGCATCTCATCAAAATTAAAGTTTCAGGAGGTTCATTTCACTTGTTTAAAGAGTTTTATTTGAATATCTTTTGAAGTTTAAGTGAAGTTCATTTAATATCACTTTGTTGAAGTTCATTTGAGTTTTATTTGATCAGTATTATTAGCGAGTGAGTAAACATTTTCTTGAAATATTTTATTATGCAACCTTTTTCAGCAGCATGGTTGAAATTGTTCTCACTTGCAGAATGTTAATCAGGGCTCCATTTGTTTACGTCTTAATCGGTAAAGCAATCCTCAACCGGCTCATACTTCTTTTAATTTTCTACAAGATTTCATCAAAATACGGAATTTCCATCAAAGTAGCACTCGCAAATGTGCAATATCATGAACATTATATCCATTTCAATACGCATCACTGAATATCGAAAGGGCTTCATTCAGAGTGAACAATTATTGTTCATTCACAGGAATGTAGACTTCACGAATTTTAACTTCCGGATCTGGAGAACATTATTTAGTGCCTGAGCTTAATTAACTGATTAAAATTAATCCACCCATTTTTCGAAGGGGCCACCCTTGAACGGTTTATGGCACAGCGGTGCGCGGTTATGAAATCTTTGTCAAAATCTAGGTGGGGCAATTTTATCTGCTTTTTTTGGCGTGGGCACTCATGGTGAGTTTTCGGTGAGAAAAATAAAAAGCTTCATTTAAATTCCCTACATTCGCAAAAAGAAGGGATCGTGTGGGCCCTGGTAAAAATTGGCGGTAGGAGCTGCGTTTCAAAATACCATAGAAGTTCTTATAGCCGACTGAAGAGGGCGATAGAAAATCATATAGCTGGCTGTAGAAAGTGGAAAAAATCATACGGCCGGGCTACACGAAGCGATAAAAAATTATACAGCCGGGCTATAGTTCCTATCGTCGGGCTTTACACTTTATCGCCTGGCTGTTGCTTTTTCGCCATCGGCTATAAAAGGCTATAAGAAATTGAGTAGAAATTCTTGTGCTTTGTAAATCCTTAAGTTTGTACGGAATCACCTTAATATTTACAAAACGCACATTATATTTTCCTCTACTACCGATTTTATTTCATCAATTAAAATGAGAATAATCCATACAGAGTGTGCAAACATTTCAAAGTCATCAGTTGAAAAACGCCGACTCCACGAGATTAAATATTAGAGCCTAACACAGAGCGGAACGGCGGCGCACTGGCGCCTACAAACCTTACTGGGATACTTCACGCATTGCGCAATGCGTGAAGTATCCCTGTTAGGTTTGTAGGCGCCAATGCGCGTTTCGCGCTGGCTGCCCGCCCGCCGCGCCACGCCGTAGCGTACCACGGCGCTTAAAGCAGCTATTTCACACCAGAGGTATTGCACAGTATCATACGAAATTGAAGGCGTACATATTAGGAATGGCAGGCATCCTTCAAAAGTACGGAGCTCTCCGCGCAAAATAAATCAAAACACTACGGCCCAAAAAGAGAGCGGTAGTCCAAAAACTCACAAAGTCCTAGCATCCGTAATTAGTAACGTTTAGCATACACTTTATCGCCAGGCTGTTGCTTAATCGCCATCGGCTATACAAGGCTATAAGAAATCGTGTTGCCGGCTATAGAAGCTATTGGAAATCTTACAGCCGGCTGTAGGTCTATGGTGTTTTGAAATACAGATTCTACTGCCAATTTTTACCAGGGGGTCAATTAAATTTTGTCCTTTTGAAACCTGTGAACCTGAGAAATGAATTTATGTCATTATGATTGTACCTGACACTGCTCGGAGCTGGCATGCGAGTGAGATCTGGAAACAAATCTTGGAAGATCTCTGTAAACATTCAGCTCCTCGACATGGAAAGTGTGCCAAACGGATGAGGGCTGCTTCAAAATCAGCCGGATAGCCGACAAATCTTTCCACTCTACGCTGCTCTGAAAATAAGGCCATGCTTGAATTTTCAAGCATTTAAATGGATATCACATAGACACGTTTAACATATCGATGACTAACGCGTCCAGCCCACATACAAACTAGAGGCTTCAAAGAGACTCATCGATGCCTTTCCTGGCCCTCTCATTGGCCAGCGGTTTAAGTCGGGGCAATCGATGAGTCTCTTTGAAGCCTCTAGTTTGTATGTGGGCTGGACGCTTAAAATGCGAAACCAAGCATCCCCATTGCGGTGCTTCAAAATCTCTACTCTTATTTTAATTTTTATAGGAGAAACGAGTAAACTATATGCGGAATATTCTGCTGACAGGGCAGAAATATTAAGGAAGTTTCCAATAATTAAGTTGACTGGTTTCCGAAAGAAAAAAAAATAAAATATGACAAGACGTCTTCAACGTCGCACATGGAGATACGTGGTCTCGCACTTTGTTCAGCGATATGTCGTGGGCAATTCTATGTATAGCAAGCGCCGGCATGTCTCAAATCATATATCGTCACCTTCCAGGCAAAGTATCACAATCGCCATGCGACGATTAAAAATTTCCGCCGCCATTTTATTTCTTTACTGAGAAATTGTTGGGTGAATCTGTTTGGAAATTTCACTAAATTTTATCGGTAGCACAAAGAAAATTCAGTGAAATTTTCGTACAGCTTCGTTGAATAATTTCTCTGTAAAAAAATAAAATGGCGGCGGAAATTTTTAAACGTCGCATGGCGCTTGTGATACTTTGCCTGGAAGGTGACGATATATCGAAAAGAAGTAAAACTCAGGAACAAAGGAACAAGCAGGGAATACTATAATTGTGCCTTCATTCGGAACAGCCAATTTTTTCTGTTTAAAAGCATGGTAGCCACTTGCAAATCAGCCAAGTTCCGATACCCGGATTATCGTTTTGCGTAGTTCATATTATTTTGTTATATTCCGTACCACTTGTTTATTTTTAATCCTTGTATAATAACCACCCATTTGCTAAATACAATTCTAGCTGGAGCGCAATTCAGCTTTGCAATCACCACTGCAAAAATGTCACAGGAAATCGAAAAGGCCAGCGGCCATGAAGGCTATTTCAATTGTAATCTTCCGTCACATTCTTACGGCGCAATGATACAACTATTTGAACTCCCCGGAATGCGTGAGGTATCACGCCGCATTTGAAGGCGTTATCAAATCAGCCAAGTTCCGATACCCGGATTATCGTTTTGCATAGTTCATGTAATTTTGTTATATTCCGTACCACTTGTTTATTTTTAATCCTCGTATAAAAACCACCCATTTGCTAAATACAATTGAGGAGCTTTCCGGAAAAAGGGCGCATACCGAAAAAACAAGTTGTGAGAAAAACGCATTTGAAGTTTTCATTCCTACTTTCTGGTTACTGATGATGACATACATCGGAACTGGGGCACTCATATCAACCTTCATACACCCTAGAATGAATATTTGAATAACGACCATTGGTAAAATTTACACTTTTTTCAGTGTTGTGGGAGGATTTTTTTAAAATTTTCCGTTATGTGCCCATTTTCCGGAAATTGACCGGTGGTTATAGGTTTTGGCTTCCAAAGATAAATTTTCAAGACTTTAACGAGTTTCTAAACGTAAAAAATCATAAATTCGATCGCGAACGTGCGGGTGGATCATGTTCGATCATCGTTAATAAAAAAGACAGCAAAGCTCGCGAAAAAATCGAAAAATTAAAACGCACAAGAGACCATTAAAAATTGAATTATTAATAATTACAGAATTTCACGTGTCACCGGTAAAACGCATAGAGAATCACTGCAACCCGATTATATTACATTGATTCGTAGAATCAGTGCGATGCATCTGTAATGAGGGATCCTTACTTATATCAGTACCCATCACCTGCCTGCCTGCGCCCTACGCGCTACCTCCTCAACGTCGCGTCGCGGCGACCGTACCTAGGGGCGAAAAGATGAAATACGCCTGACTTAGTCTCACAAAACTTGGTCTCTTAACTCCAAAAATTGATCAATTAAGCTGAAACTCGGGACATTGGTACATTAGGATGCGAGGAATCCGTTCCTGCCATTTTTGGAAAAAGGGCACATACGCGTATGTGCCCCTTTTCCGGAATGCTCCTCAATTATGAAAGAACAAACATAAATGTGGTTCAATGATTTTAACTTCCGCCGCCGCGCCGCGCAGACCGCACCGTGTTGGACGCGATGCGTGAAGTATTCACGCAGTCTTGTAGGCGCTACGCCTTTCACGCTGACCGCTCTGTGTTTGGCGCAATGCGTGAAGTATTCATGCATTCTTGTAGGCGCTATCTGTTTCACGCTGAGCGCAGTGACCGCACTGTGTTTGATGCAATGCGTGAAGTATTCGTGCAGTCTTGTAGGAATGTACGCGCTAATATGTGTTACATGCCGACCGCCGCGCCGAGGGCTTCTCCTTTTCATCTCAAGTCCTCGTTGTCATTTCTCTCTAAGTCGCGCCGTTCTGGACCAAATTGCGTGTTTGGTTTCTCTTGTAACTCGATTTATTGAGGGTGCTGTCTCTTGTATCACTAAGAAACGACAAAATTAGAAATTACTATACTCTCAGGAAATGAGAGATTTTGTCGCCTTTTCTCGTTTGTAATTTTTTTTTTCTAATCCGATTTTTTTTTATACCTACACTTTAAAAAATTGCAAATTTTTGCCGCCCCTTAGATTTGCCGCCATGGGCCGCGGCCCATGTGGCCACCCCCTTAATCCGGCCCTGTTGCATAATCATCCTAGCAACACTAGAATGCTCTTGGTCCTGCTTGCAAAACGTAATCCAGTTATGAGTGCGCAGCTTTTTTAATTCCTGAGGTCAAATCTGGTGGTTTGTTCACAATAATTCGACGGATTTAACCAGAATTGCACCATATTTTGTGAAAAGAAACTACTGTTTATTCCAGATCCATGCATGCAATATCAATTCGTTTACTGAGACTCACTTACTTCTGTGGCTGGAATGGATATGAAGTCTTGACTGCCTTGCTCATAATGTACATGTTTCATTAGCTCCTTCCTTTCTATCGAGACGACCCATTTTTTCTTAGCAAATCTCGGTCCGCTTTCGTGGAAACTCGAAAATCCTGGCTCGCTAGACTTCCCTGCAACACTCTCGTCACTGTAACGGACGAACAGCGATAGAGACTGCGTATAGTAGTTCCTTAATGTCAGCTCTCCGACCTGCGAAAACGAAGAGACCAATCTTGTTGGACAACCTATGAGCTACATTATTACTCCTAGAATTTATAATTTAACTACCCTGCATGCCCCTTCTCCTCAGTAACTTTGAGAGAAATAGTGGATATTAATCATTTCAGTAAGATTACTCGGCCCATGACAATCATTCACAGCTGAATTTCAAGAAATACGTGTTCAAAGTTTCAAAATTACATGGAGCCTTTCGGCGAAAAGGAAGTTTAAACTCACATTTTGATGCTTTATGAAGTTGGATTTTAACTGTGAATGTTTCACATCATATACCCGCAAACTAGGTTTAGTTGAGTTCATGAATATCTCATTTTTTTCAAAAACTGCACTTATGTGCCTTGTCCTCCAAGCCCCTCATGCCCTGTGACGAGTTCATTATCGGGCTGAGAAAGCCGGACCGTTTTTCATGTATCATAGTTATTAATGAAAAAAATGTTGAAAATTGTCTAATTACCGTAGCAGGAAACGAAAAAATGATGTCGAGAACTGCGCATCCTGGTGAGGTTGGTTGGTCCTCTTCTAAATAAAGTGATATTGGTCCTTTCACACTGAATTCAACGCTCTGCCTAACAGGCGTGACAGCTGGGGCTGGTGCTAAAAAATGACTCCCCCTTGTAGAGGTAGATGCCCCTCTGATCTCGTCACCTTCGCTCAGTGATCGCCTGTAGAATTATCATTAAAAATAAAGTACTCTGACGTTTCTCTTTTCCCTTTTATTCTTGCTTCTTGATGCAAAGTCTTACCATTTTGTAATTTTTTAAGAACTAGTTTGAGCCCAGATTTTCTTTCGTAAAGTTTCTTCTCTAATTATTTTTAACCTCATCGTCAAAAATTGAAGTGACTAGGTTTGTAGGAACATACTTGAAATATCTGTAAACTTCATAAACAGTTTACAATTTTACTACTTCGGAAAAAACACACAAATTGAGTTTACTTTTTTAACCAGGTGATTTACCGCGGCTTGGCATGATCCACAGTTTGTGTTTAGCAATACATAAAATTTGATTGTTTCCTCTCTCAAAGATTAAACGCCACATAAAAGATACTTATTGAAAGCAAGCAAAGGTTTTAAGAGCACTACAATACTGCTGAGAAAATGTAATTTATTAACTTTAAAAAAACTGAAAAAGTTTACAAATTCACACTCAAAAAAAAAAATACCCAATTTTATTACATAATAGATAAATAAAAACTTGGCTATATTTCAACAACTTCCTTTAAAATGCGCTTGTTTTTTTTTTTTACGAAATATGAATCCAAATTGAACTTAACCAACCTCTAAAAATGTGACACCTTGGCGCTTACCTATCTCTTTGCTCTACATCATCCGATGATTCGGCCATTTGCTACTTAACTCCCTGATTTTCTCATTGTGATTTCATCATACAGTATCCCAATGGTATTGTTCTGAAAGCCTGAGGATTTTTTAGGTTTTCCGAAAGACAGGAGCAAGAGATGAGCGACAAATATATTCAAAATATCATAGGAACGGATGACGAAACGGTGGGTCAAAAGTTACTTTTAACCTCTTTTTGAGTGTTTATAACGTTGCTTAGATACTCCGACAGTATGACGCGTACGAACTGTTGATCTCGAACTCGACCCACTGGACTTAGTTGCTAGGGTTCAATCCATTTCCCTCCTGACATAGGGACGTAACTATACTCAGTGACAATTTTGCAAGTTGGCAACACTATATTTCCTTCATTTGAATCCATTGAAAATATCGATTTTAGGCGAGGCAAGCTGCCTCGCCAATAATCGATTGTTTTACATACATTTAAATGGAGGAAAAACAGTGTTGCCAACTTGCAAGAGTTGCCATAGATTACACCGAGAGATGAACCCTGTCGTCCATAAAACTCAATTCTTTCCTGGGCTCATCTCTAAGCTGGTGTGGTTACGGCCTTTTGTCAACCAAGCGACGCACAGAGGGTCGAGTCAATGGGAGAGGGCGGACAATATATGGAAACTTAAAAAGCTCATAACTCTGATCATACAAAAATTTGAGGTCTTGAAAGTGGTTCCATTGGTCTCCTCGTGAAAGTTTCTTGTGGAAGCATCCCTTAAAGTTTTAAATTTGACGAAATAAACATAAAATTTTGCAGTTTTAGTCAAAAATTACATGTCCGACCTCTCCGATTGACTCGATCCAATGTGCGACGGATTAACCACGATCGCCGCCCCCCCTCCTCCACTGCCATTCCAAATACTAGTATTATTTAAAAGGTAGACCCATAAATATTATTATATCTGATATTCCTGTATTTAAAAATGTATTTCATTTCATGCATATGATTATAAATTTACGGCTCAAAGAATCAATTGAATTATTACAGGCAAAGACTTTCTTAAATCTGTGATAATAATTGAATTTTCATGACCAAATTGTCATCTCAGCTTTGTTGGTGAGGTATTATTGTGTGTTGATCCATAGATATGCTCAAAGACATTCTCCTTATTCTTGTCTTTGTGGCCTTAATAATTTTTGAAATCCATCTTCATATTTTTTCTAAGAGTGAATTTTCCTTTAAACATTTTTTTCATCCATTTTCCTTTCCATAATATCTACTGTACCAAAAGCATATCAAATTAGTTTAAAATTCATGAAACTGCATTCAAATTGTATAATCTATTCCAACTAGAAAGATTTATCTGTTCCGGATTCTTCCTCTCGAGGAAATTTTTTATCGCTGCTTTTCCAATTTTTCAATCAGCGAATAAAAATGTATCTTTTCATCTCATTTTTCTGGTCCATTATCTTGTGCGTATACAGTTCTTAATAATGCTGCTTAGTAGATTAGATGGCTGAATTGAGAAATTCCCTTTTTTTTACCAGAAAATGAAGTCAAGTAGAAATTTTAAATTCATTATTCCGTGCATCACTATATAGTACTGATACTGAACTCTTTTCATAGTACGATAAGACTACATTATTTTTCTAAAATTAATATTTTTTAGATCTTTACGAGGGAAAAAAATAGGAAACCTGATATCGCTTTCTGCCTGAACGAGATCTTGTCTACTGTTACCTGAACAAAAATTTTACTTTGAGAAGCTCAAAAAGGCTTGGGTACTTTCACGTATTCATTAAATTTCCGTCAGTACAGTGGGTATATAGACTGAAAAATGTACAAAATATTTCAAAATTGAGGAGCTTTCCGGAAAAAGGGCACTTAGCAAAAATCGCGTTTGAGAACAAAGCATTTTAAGTTTCCATCATTATACTTTCTGGCCACTGATTATAACTTTCATCGCGGCATGGACTCCCAATTTCGAACGTGAGTCACAGTCAGTGTCCATAGAGTAATGATGGGAACTTCAAATGCATTTTTCTCAAATGCGATTTTTTTCTATGTGCCTTTTTCCGTAAAGCTCCTCAATTGCCTAGTGAGTACATACTAATGAACGAATGTAGAATTTCTTAATTTTATTACCGTCAAAATGTTTCAGAAACCTTTAAATAGGGATGATCAGTCTTAGAAATATTTTGCTGTAAATCCTGAAGCTTTTTAAGCATTGATCTTAGTAAAACAACTATTTACAAAACGTATAAAAAACAAATAATTTATTTCATACAATAAATATTCAGCATTCCACAACTTGAAAATCACAACTCAAACGATTACCTACTTACATGCCATGCAAACACATGGTACTTCTTTAGATTTAAAGGAAGACACATTTTTTTACCACAACTATAAACATTTAGACAATGAAATAAAACGAGATAATGATCTGCGAGAAGGGGCTACACTTCTTGGATGGTAACGAAATATTTTTAGGAAAGTCCGAGCTCGTAGAAAAAAGTTGCCCTTATCTCCTCTCATTACAAATTACAGATTGAGAACGAAGATTATTACAGAATTTCATGGTAAAAATTTATCCTCTACCTTTGACATTGGGACCGACTTTCAAATCATACACTGGCTGTCCCATAATATCCTCTTGCGTATTATTATCATCATCACCATCATTCAATGGTTTAAATGGTGTTATATGATTAGGAACCAGAGGAATTTCGGGAATTAAGGGGATAATTCTTGGCTCCATCATACCGGGACCTCCTTTTGAAAAATCGGCAAAAATTTGGGGATGAGGTACTGGTTGTATGGTCCCTTTGATGGAAAAAGGAACGTAATCTGCATTATCTCTCCCTCTAACGTTTTCTTCAAAACGGGGCTTTCTGGCAGATTTTAAATTGCTACCAGCTCGTCTAAAATTACTCATGGAGAACTGACTATAACTAACAGGCTCTTCACTGTAATGACCCTTAACGCTAGACGGATGAATGTTTAGAAAAGGAACATTTTGAGATGAATCGGATAATAAAGCCGGGAAGTACGATTTAACAGTGTGATTATATGCGCGGTAGCCTTTTATACTGGGAGGAAATGCTGGATAAGGTAAGTGTCGATGACCCTTTACACTCGGTGGGAAAACTACCGGTTGCTGTGTCGTGACAGGCACCTCTGGCGTGATATACGTGGGATGACCTTTTACGCTAGGTGGTACTGGTGTCGAAGGCTCTGTTGTCTGCGGTCCCTCAGTAGGCACGAAGGGATGTTGGCCCTTAACACTTGGAGGAAATGTAGTTGGAATTACGTGCTCTGTAGTTTGAGGCCCTTCAGTTGGAACAAAAGTGCGATGACCCTTCACATTTGGAGGGAAAGTAGTCGGAATTATGTGCTCTGTGGTCTGCGGAACCTCAGTTGGTACAAAGGTACGATGACCTTTCACATTTGGAGGAAAAGTGGTGGGAATTATGTGTTCTGTGGTCTGCGGCACCTCAGTTGGGACAAAGGTACGATGACCTTTCACATTTGGAGGAAAAGTGGTAGGAATTACGTTTTCGGTAGTTTGTGGCACTTCAGTGGGATGACCTTTGATCTCCGGCGGCGCCGTCTCGGGGTACTGTGTTGTTTGTTGCACATCGCTTATATCAGTCGGTGGTTGTCCTTTTACGCTCGGAGGGAATGTCCCTAGAGGGAATGGTGTTTGAGGCACCTCTGTGGGAATGCCCGTCGTATCGTGACCTTTTACGCTGGAAGGGATTGTTGTCCTTGGCCCTTCAGTCGGGACAAAGTCCCGGTGTCCCTTTACATTCGGAGGAAAAGTTGTCGGAATTAAATATTCCGTCGTTTGTGGCACTTCGGTAGGCGTGCTCTCGGGATGACCTTTGACTTCAGGTGGGGCAGTCTCGGGGTATTGCGTTGTTTGTTGCACATCGTTGACAACAGACGGCTGTTGTCCTTTGATATTCGGCGGATTAGTTGTAGGAGGTAATGTTGTTTGTGGTACCTCAGTAGGAAAATCAGTCGTAGGATGACCTTTTACGCTGGAAACAGTTGTTGTCAATGGCCCTTCAGAGGGGACAAACGCACGATGACCCTTTACATTCGGAGAAAAAGTAGTCGGAATTATGCGTTCTGTAGTTTGTGGCACTTCAGCGGGTGTGGTCGGAGGGTATCCTTTGATTTCTGGCGGGAAAGTTGTTTGTTGTTCATCCGTCACTGTAGTAGGTGGTCGTCCCTTGATACTTGGCGGGAACGTTGTTGGCTGTTGAGTTGTTGGCGGCACCTCAGAAGGGACTTGAGAGGGATTCCCTTTTACATTAGAGGGCATTGTTGTCGGAAAGTCTGTTGAGTGCGGACCTTCTGTTGGGACGAATGAACGATGACCTTTAACATTTGGAGGGAAAGTCGTTGGAATGATGTATTGTGTGGTTTGCGGCACTTCAGTGGGATGACCTTTGATCTCCGGAGTGGTAGTTTGAAGGTACTCGGTTGTCTGTTGTACATCATTTACATCGGCTTGAGGTTGTCCTTTAACATTCGGAGGGTAAGTGGTTGGCTGGAACGTTGTTTGAGGAACCTCAGTAGGATTGTAGGTGGGGTCTCCTTTCACGCTGAAGGGGTGTGTTGTTTGACGATCTGTTGTTTGAGACTCCTCCGTAGGAGAAAAGATAGGGTGACCTTTGATATTCAGTGAGGCAGTAGGAATTATTGTCACGGTGTTCTGCGACTCCCCAGATGGATCATATGATGGACGCCCTTGAGTGGTACTTTGAGAGATGGTTATTTGACTATCGCCCTGGGTTACTTGTGGTGAATCATTCGAAATCGACGAAATTGTTGTTAGGAAAGAGTTTTCTTCGGTCGAAGGAAATAAATTCCTCTCGGTTTGTTGCACTAAATCAGGCTCTTGTCTAGGACTATATTTTTCCGTTGTAACTGAAAAAGTTGTGGCTCTTTCAGTCTGTTGGAATGTATCCTCTACTTTTGTTTGTTCTGTGACGTGCTCTGTCGACGAAACGGGAATGATTGGAATTTTTTCGGTCCGTTGGACATCATCTCCCTCCAACCCGACCGTGGTGAAAAACTTTTCTGTTGTAACCGGGAATACTGATATTTTCTCAGTCTGTTGAACCTCATCTCTTTCCTGAGCCACCGTTGTAATGCCTTCATTTATAGTGACCGGGAGAATTGGGAGTCTCTCGGTCCGTTGGACTGAGTCTCCCTCCGATGCGACTGTTGTAATGAACTTTTCAGTTGTAACTGGTACTACTGAAATTTTTTCGGTTTGCTGTCCAACATCTGCTTCATGAGCGATTGTCGTGAAGAGCCTTTCTGTTGTAACTGGAATGACAGATATTTTTTCGGTTTGTTGACCTAAATCTTCCTCCAATGCAGGTGTTGTAATTGGTACTATTGAGATTTTTTCAGTTTGTTGCCCAGCATCTGCCGTCTCATGAGCAAATGTCGTCATGTAATTTTCTGTAGTAACTGGAATAATAGAGATTTTCTCGGTTTGTTGACCTAAATCTCTCTCCAACGCAGGAGTTGTAATAAACTTTTCTGTTGTAACTGGTACTACTGAAATTTTTTCAGTTTGCTGCCCAACATCTTCTTCATGAGCGATTGTCGTGAAGATACCTTCTGTTGTAACTGGAATGACAGATATTTTTTCGGTTTGTTGACCTAAATCTTCTTCCAATGCAGGTGTTGTAATTGGTACTATTGAGATCTTTTCAGTTTGTTGCCCAACATCTGCTGCCTCATGAGCATATGTCGTCTTGTAATTTTCTGTAGTCACTGGAATTGTGGAAATTTTCTCCGTTTGTTGACCTAAATCTCTTTCCAACGCAGGTGTTGTAACTGGGAAATTCGAAACTTTTTCAGTCTGTTGAGACAAATCTTTATCATCGAAACTCCTCGTAGTACTACTATAAAATGGATTTTCGGTTTTTTGGTGTGAATCTTCATCCGTGGAACGTGCAGTTGTTGAGGATTCTGACTGCACAAATGTTGTACCCGTATCATCACGAGTTGTGTAAGACGTTGCCGGTGTGATATTCACTACATCATCCGCGGACACACTCGTAAAGGCTGGTACAGGTTCCGTCAAACCACCGGGTGTTGTCAACTTATCGGGAATACTCGATACAAGATCCGTATGTCCGAGTGTTGCTTGAGAATTGAGGTATGGAACTGTGAACTGTCCATTTGCACTTGATGAGGGTTGAGACGTAACCGTTTTTTGTTCAATATCGGGTCGATTAGTACTCGCAGCAACAGGAGTTTGAACCGTGCTTTGTGCAGCCAAATCAAACGTGTTTTCTTCGGTGGCTGTTTTCGGGCCCTCTGGTTTAATGTCATCACTAGGACTGGTTGGTAAAGAAATAGTTGGATCAACTGGAACAAGTGTTCCATTTGTATCTTGTGATAAAGGTGTCCCTGCATTTTGTTCCGGTCCAGGCTTCGGCTCCTCGAAATATATTATTGGAGGTTGAATCACATTAGGCCCTGAGCGATGGGGAACCAAACTGGCACCGAAGGAACCAGCTTTGTCTGATCTGAACCCATTATTTGGTTTAGGATCAGATTCTTCGATTGCATCATGACCTGTGTCTCCCTCCGGAACTGAGGATCCATGGACATTATCGTTATCATGGCTGTGAAAGGAATCGAATCGATCGTCACCTGTCGGTATATCCTGGACTTCTTCCTCGATGTTGTAATCATAATCCTCTTGAATGTTATCTTTAGACGCCGCTAGATTTAATGAGAAGTCATTATGTCCAGCGTGATGAGGGTGTTTCCTTCTTCTGTGTGCAGATCTTTTCGGTTTTGATTGACCTGCGAGTTGTGAAGGCGATGATTGCTCCGACCATCCTGCAAGTGTGAAATCTTCTTCGTGTTCATTTAGTTTGAGCGTGTGTTCGTGGTTGTTTTCTCGTTTTATGGGTCTCCAGCCATTTCTACCCAGTAGAAGTGGTCGAGCAGCTCCTAGAACATAACATATCGACTGCTATTAGATACTATACAATTTTTAGTTCATTTTATACATTTATATACATTTTTATTAGTCAGATGTACCCGTCCAAAACCTCTATACACACACGTCAGTTTAGAATCAACTTTAAGTCTAAATTTAATTAGTTTTCAGCTCCAATTCTATCCGTAAATAAATGGCATGCTTGTCTTTTAGCCAAACGATGTGTTTATTTTAACGATTGGAGACTCATTTTGATTAAAGTGCACCATCTACGCGTATCAATAGCTTAAGTTAAAAACATTTAAGAAAAGGAGGCTTTCAAAAACTACCCCGATTTGACCGCAAAAGAAGTCAACAATTTTTGAGGTACACAACAAAGAAATTCAGGGCTGCTTTTCAAAAATAATTTTTGTTAGTACATCAGATATAAATTGATAAATATACATAATCATTACTATAAACTTTCTGACCACCTAAATTTTCGTTTATTGTCACAATTCGTTCGCTATCGTTCTACTCAGCCGATTTTCATGATTATTACAACTACCTACAGGCGATAGTCCTTTGATGAGCCCGCTCTTTTCATATTTTGGAAAATTAACTCGCGAGGACCCTTGAGCGGACCTTAGAGGGTGCGAAGCATCCTCCAGGCGCGAGCCGCGTAACGGCCAGGGGGTGTACCCCTGTACCCCCCACCCCCAATATTTAATACATTTCAATCCATATTATGTGATCGCACGGAAAATCGAAACGAGATCGAAATGCCAGATCAAAAAAGTAAGTGATGTGGAGAAAGATTTTCTCCTAGGTCGATCCTGATAAATCCGACGGTACCAAAGTCCCCTAGGACCTCATAGATAGGGCACTGGAAAAGCCCTGAACTTGTGAAATTTATAAGTTAAAAGCCCCCCTTTCACCACATCATTGCAGTCCCGCGGTACCTCGGGACCGTCGAATTCGGATTTCCAGGGTCGAATACCTATAGGAAAACGTTTTTTTACTGAGCCTGCGCGCGTCGCTTTCATGATCTGGCATTTCATCGAGGGAGGATCTGTCCTCCAACTCCAGAGGTCAATATTTTGGAAAGGGATGAGCCAATTTTGGACTTTTTTGTATAGACTTAGGTCGAAATTTTCCGTACTTTTTGAATCAAATGAAATAATTCCAAAACCTGACGGGAACCTCAATTTTCACGGATAGATCCCTCCTTTCAGAGATCCCCAGATCCTCCTGGGGCCTAAAAGGGAAGAGGCCTAAGGGAAGGGGCCTGAAGAAAAAGAAAATAGGAAGGGAAAAATGGAAGGAGGAGAAAGGCGGGATACGATGATGTCTGGACCTGAGGTTTTCCCAGCACATGGTTGCAACAGCGCAAATTCTTCTCAGTCGATGCAGGTCTCAATTAAATAACAGACCGCGCGACATCAATAAATCTCAATCCGTACTCTCCCCCCCCCCCCCCNCTAGAGCTAGAAAAAATGTTGATGAAATTTCTTATATCCGGTTCGACTTCAACTTTTTCAATATTTCATATTGATAAAAAGGCAGATTAGAACTAACTTCATGATGTGTTTATACATAACGGCGACGGCACTTAGCAAGTTGTAAATGTAGCAGTGGTGGTGTTGTTCCCATATACTGTAGGAAAATGTATTGCTATTAAGCAAAAGCGTAGCATGTCTGAAGAAAAAAAATAGCCTCTACTTCAGTGACTTAAAAGATCGGTTAGAAAACTAGAATATAGTACCTTACTTGCATATTTTATGAGAAGAGAACAAATGATTGTGCGCAACGATTCGGCTCTGGGTCAGTGAAGAAACCTTTACTTCAGAGACTGAAACGATCGGTTAGAAATGTACAAAAAAAGTAATTTTACTTTATAGTCCTCACTTTTTCTTTTTCGCCCGATGTGAAATTTCGGTTGTCAACTTAAAACTTAAAACACGGTGGCCATTTTAGCTTCATCAGCCATCACCTGATGATGGCTGATTAAGTCGAAAGAAAGAAATTTTTCATATCCGGTTCGATTTCAACTTTTTCAATATTTCATATTGATAAAAAGGCAGATTAGAACTAACTTCATGATGTGTTGACACATAACGGCGACGGCACTTAGCAAGTTGTAAATGTAGCAGTAGTGGTGTTGTTCCCATATACTGTAGAAAAATGTATTCCCATTAACTTGATCATCATTTTGCTCTTAATTTCGCCACGAATCCAAATACGCAAGTTGTAAATGCATTCTTTGATAAATAAAAATGAAAAATCGCCCTCTTGCCGTCTATTCCCCGGTTGAAATTTCGAGGGCGATCGGCGATTTCCGATGCGGGTAGGCGCGAGGCAATAAAGCACCGATCACGAGGGGTGCCGAGTCCCGTTATCAGGGGTTGCTGTGTTGCCATTCGCGGGACCATAGTATTTAACCCCCCCCCCCCTCCTACCAGTATAACAGTGTGCGTAGAGGGTCTCTGAAGTCGAGAATGTCGAAGGGCGGAGAAAGGGGAAGGGGGGTGAAGAGCTTCCAGGCGGCAGGGAGTCAGTGAACCGCGGGTCGCGTTATAAACTGTATCAGAAGGGATGATTTTCGTGGAGGTCCTGTGGCGCAACGGATAACGTATAATCTTACTATGATTAAGATCCAGGTTCGACTCCTGGCAGGACCCGAAAAAATTTTGCCATCCTTGCTCCCGAACGAAAGCACACACGCCCGTGAAGAGCATTGTGCGGATTTTTTTTTTTTTTTTTTCAAAATTTTTTAAAGCAGAAATTAATATTTTTACAATAAAGTGGAAAGGTAGCAGCGCTTATTGGGAGAGGTAGCAGATTACTGGAAGGAACCAACCCATGTTTCCGAAAAAATAAGTTAAGAATTTGTTTGAGTTCCAATAGCCGTATATTTTCTCCTGCCAAAAACTAAAAGTCGAAAAACAGAATTAGTTCGTGAAAAGTGGGGTTAAATTTTATTTTCTACATTGAGCCTTATGCAGGAATAAAACTTCAAACCTCTTTTTCTCGGTTTCAACTTAGTGTGGGTTGGTTCCTTTGCCTAAGTCTTGGTCACTATAATTTTGTCGGTTGCCTAAATGATGAACTCAAGTATTTGTCGAACGGTGCTCCTATAGAGATTACTGGGGAAGGAAGCGGATGTTCGCTTAGAAGCAGTTACCGCATTTTGACAGGAATCCCGATTTTCAAAGACAGGACTTTCCTTTTAGCTCCAAAAGGAGTCCGAGAGGCCTAACAGGGTGGTGAATTTGGACTCCTTGAGGTCGGCCCCTGTCTGTCTTCGACTTCGTTCGCCTCAAAATAACCGAGAAAGAAGCCTGGTGCGGGTGGTCCGGGACACTCTATATTTTCGAAAATTTCATGGAATTTTTTAGAAAGGACTCGAGCTCTCGCATGGTTGCGTGTATTGGCAGGGTTCAGTACGGTTAGTTCCGGCATAGTTCTATTCGAGCTCAAAATTGCAAGCTTCATTCTTTCAAACGCATTCCAAAAGAATCTAAATGTACACTGGAAAAAAACACATTGGATCTAGAGTCCAGACTCTTAAAAACATCGACAAGAAAAAGTACTCTTGATTCAATCAGAATCTAGCTTAAAACAAAAACCAAGCCTCTTAATTTAAGCGGATTTCGTTTTGACTCAAGCAAAAATCCGATTGAATCAAGAGTATAGTTTTTCTTGTCAATGTTTTCAAGAGTCTGGACTATAGATCCAATGTGTTTTTTTTTTTTTCCAGTGTAGCGTTAGATCAGATTGTAATCATTTTATGGGATACTCGTATCATGATAATTTATCTGAAAATTTTGAGCTGATTGAAATCAAATTTCCAATGAAAGCTCCTAGTTTAACTGATGTTTCATAAAAAAAAAATCCTCTCTTGCAATCAATTTATAATTGTTCGATCAAATCTTATTCATCGTCAGTGGAAAGGGGCGGTCCATTGATTACGTTACTCGCTTTTAAGGAAAAGTAAAGAGATAAGTGACATGTAAGTGACAAACGGTCAAAATCCTGACACAGTATAATCACGAGAACTCAAAAGCGTAGCATGTCTGAAGAAAAAAATAGCCTCTATTTCGGTGACTTAAACGATCGGTTAGAAAAGTAGAATAGTCCCTTACTTGCATATTTTATGAGAAAAGAACAAATGACTAAGCGCAACGGTTCGGCTTTAGGTCAGTGAAGAAACCTTTACTTCAGAGACCTAAACGATCGGTTAGGAATGTACTAAAAAGTAATTTTACTTTATAGTCCTCACTTTTTCTTTTTCGCCCGATGTGAAATTTCGGTTGTCAACCTAAAACTTAAAACATACGGTGGCCCTTTCAGCTTTATCAGCCATCACCTGATGATGGAGTCGATTGGTCATCGTGTTTTAAGTTTTAGGTTGACAACCGAAATTTCACATCGGGCGAAAAAGGAAAAGTTAGTACTATGCTGATATAACCCGATGAAGGAGGAAAAAGAAACATAATTTTACTTTGTTACGACTTATCTTAACTTGTTGAAGAATGACAGGCGGTTTGTACACTACTTAATTTTATATTTAATTGAATAGTAAATTCTTACTTACTTCTAAATCCTTTCTCATGGAATATTTTATTTAATTAATTAAGTAATTGCATTTAAATATAATCCACTACAACTTTATAATAATTATGAGTTAACATGATTTACTACCATATTGTATGCTTTCTGTGGAAAACAGTGAAACTTTCAAAATGCATGGTGATATAAGGGGATGATTTTGGACCTTTCCCATTTGCTCAGCGTAATTTTTGAATCAAACCCCAGACCTACACAAAAAGGGAGGGTATGCTTTAAATTATTAAATTTTTTAGGGGAGTGGGTCTGGAAATGAGTAATGTGTAGGTGACAAAGGGGGAGGGAGGGGTCAAAAAGTTAGGGAAAATGGGTAACGTAATTTATAGACGGTCTCAAAGGCTACATTCTGAAAACGAAATTAAGTTAAAATTACTTATAAGATAAAATTAAAATTTATTTTGATTACATACTAAAGGTCTGTGCTGCAACTTTTAACAGGATATTTTAATTTTTTTCCTCTTTTTACTCTTTTCTTGGGGTCAGGCGAATTCTTAAAATTGGTAATTTAAAAATTGTGTCCCTGAGAGACGAAAAATAGAGTGGTTCCTCTGTGCGTAGTCAATCGAATGTAAAGGACCGGTCGGGAAAAAGTGGGAATTTAGTGACGGAATCAAATTTGAAACGATCAGCTCCTTCCCTCCCTCTCGAAGAATTTGTGTATTGAAGTTTAAAGACAAATTTTCCGATTTCAAACCAACTTATAGCCCTCTATCGCCCTAAATTTATAGAGTTGACCCCGATTAAAACCTCTGGGATAAGTTTTTTTGTTAGCTTCAGTTCCGAAGAGTCCGAACATGTTATTGAGGCTTTGATAACAAGAATCTTACGAGAAAAACGTTTCCCAAAGAAAGCAACTTAAAATTTTGTTAATTTTCGTGAAGCAAACATCTCACGGGCCCTTGGGCCGTAACACTTTAGAGACTTTTAGGATTTCGTATCACCGGATTACATTCAGAGACGTACCTTTTTCGTGCACATAATTGGAAGCAGCGCCCACAGCGACACACACACTCAACAGACCGATAAATGTATTCCCCCCGGGAATAAACATTTTTCGATGCGATGTTTCGTTCGCGACTGAGATGAGGAACTGATGGCAGTCGACATATAATACTTCAATTACTTGCAGTGCGTACTCGGTGACAGGGAAAATGATCGCAATCAAAATTGGGAAATACAAATAGCTTTAGTCATCCATAATGGCCACGGTCAAGCGCATGGCTCGCGCGAAAAGGACGGATCCAGATCTTGACTCTTCGATGTTGCCACACTCGGTAAGGTTTCACTATTTCCAGCAGTTTCAACTCGTGTTTACCTGTAGTTGAAGTGAATCTACGACAGTATCAAAAATTCTTCTATCAGTACAATCAATCGACCTGTACTTTTTTTGGGTTTTACAACCAGTGTTTGAAACTCACCTTTGAGTTTTAGGAGCCATGTGGCGCATCAAGCCCGATTTTTAAGCGTCATACTGAAGATTTTTTAGGGGCTAAATTGACTTTTTGCCTATAATATTACGGCGCATTTAGTGAAAAGTTAGATGCAAATGTTTTCGTAACAGAATTAGTAAGGAGCTGTAACTTGGGGAAGACAAAAGCACTACGAATAAAATCGTGAAGAATAGAAAAAGCAAGCTTTCACTTGTAGTGCTGAAAATTCTGAGTTTTTTCAATTGAAATAGATTTGTTTTTCTTTCTTTATTTGACTTCCTGTGAAAATACAGATTTTTAGTGGGAAATTTTTAGGGGCCACGTTGGCGCAGAGCCTTCATTTTTCAAGCGCATTTGGCGTGTTGGCGCCTGTGAGTTTCGAACACTGTTTACAACCCACCCTAAAACAATACCAGCTTTGATTACTCTATTAAGTCTCAATTCGTTGCTCGGCTGACATAAGGGCGTAACTACATATTGAGATGAGCCCGGAAAAGCATTGAATTGTATCGAGGGCAAGGTTCATTTCAGAGTGTAGTTACGTCCTTATGTCAGGTAGGCGACGAACTGAGGGGCTTGGTGGGCGCATAAGTGCAGTTTTTGACATTTCGAGAAATATGTGCTTGAAGATTCGAAATTACGTGGATCCTTACGGCGGACAGAAAGTTCAAACTGACTTTATGATGCTGAAAAACTGGAATTTGGGAACGAATTTTTAACAGAATATGCATTATAAGACTAGTTTTACTCGAAATCATTGATATTTTGAGTTTTTCAAAAACTAAAGCTATGCGCCTTATCCTCCAAGCCCCTCAATTACTCGCTGTCAATCATCTACATTTTAGGAAGTCAGCGTTCCGTTAACAAAGGCCCATCTCCTTTTTTAACATAAAATATTGGAAATACCTCTCCTAGCTTTTATTTTTCGGGGTTCATCCAAAAAAACTAAAATTCATTATTTCTTTGGAAAAAATTTTACCTCTCTAGCATACAAGTTACATGGACTTGGTCGAGAGCATGACCCTCTCAAGAACATGGTTTTCTTTTTCAGACTGCGTTTATGTAAATTCGAATATTCTGCGCCCTTCTGGGCAAAAATATCAAGGAAGATTGAGATTCTGCTGTAATTTGATCGATGAATCAAAGGCGGACAAATGACTTGTTCAAAATTTTTCGTTGTTTTGAAAGTCGCCAAGATTTTTCCCCCTTTTTTCTTATCTGTAAGTCTCAAGAATCAAATTACAAGAGCGACTGATCCATTGCTCAGTAGGTAATGTTGGAATCAGGAAAACACGTTTACATTTTTACACTATTATCGTCAAAACATTTCACACTAATATAAAATACTTGAATCGAAAGGAACTCATTCCCATTGAATACCTCTAACAAAAGATCTGCAGTCTATTCAACAAAAAAATTCCTCTTGAATAAACTGTAATTGAGTATAAATTGATAAATGAGCATTTCTCTTCGAAACAACTAGAGCAACTGATTTATTCCTGCGAGACATATTTCACGACAATTTTGTTTTATTGAAATAGACAATTTTTTCGTCCCGGAGTGTTTATCCCATGCAAATGAACAAAGACAAGTTAGGCTCCTTGTCCCCTCTCCACCAATGCTCATCGGCTAAGTTGGGTTTACTTTCAGCGCTTTCAATCACGATTCAATAGCCAATCAACCAGTTGATAATTGCTTGATTATAGATATATTTATAAAAAATTATGGTCAACCTCATTACGCTGTAGTGCGTCATGTGAGTTAAAAATATTTAACCGAGGACTATTTTGAATTAATTAAAAAAAATGTCGTCTCTAGTGGATATTTTCGATATTTTCCTCGGAGCGTACTTTTGAGTTTATATTGAAACATTCCCTTAAAAGACGCATTTTTTTTAAAAGTTAATTATAAATGTGTTGAGAACGGAGGTTCTATGCACACGGCACTTATTACAAGTATCGGAACCATGCACTTGGTCACAGTCGCAAGGGATCGGGTTTTTGAGCAGCCGATCTGTTTTTCTTAGTCTGCGTTCAAGTCACCCGCCAATCCTCTTTTTCTACTGAAGAATGGGCCACTACATTAGGTATGAATTTAAGCATCTCATTTTATCAACTCGACTACTCTTTACGATTATTCTTGACTCATCCATTGAAGCACTTATTCGCATATGGAAAGGAATGTCACATGCGTTGTTTCTGAGATGAGCCGGCAATTGTTGTTACTCATTGCGAAATGTAGTTCAAATGATCTTTAAAATTCTACGTAGAAAGCTATTCACACAACGGGAAGGGTAGGAATCGACCCTTGAGCAAGATATTAACGTGTTCACATAACGCTGATGAAATGAATCATAATGTATTTTTTGCATGTTACTAATGTTAACGAAAAATACTTGTATCTAATTTAAGGGTTTTATTCTAAAATCTCCGTAGTGTGTATAATTTTCCAAGTGAAAGTTGACAGAAGAAACAAAGGGCGGAGTGTTCATGTTCGTGGCGTGCTTCGAGATATATCGATATTTCCCCATTCGAAGCTATGATAAAGAATCGATTAATAAGGTGTTCGTTGCGAACACCCTGATAATCGATCCTTTTCCACATGTTTAAAAGGTACATCAATCGATATATCGCAAAACACGCCACGCCACTGGTACCTTGGTTGTGCATACAAGGGATGGATCGTCGATGAATTTACAGGGGCATGTATCTCTGCGATGTTGTGCGGGTAATCATTCATATTTTATTTTCTTGGAGGACGATAGATCATCATAATATTGCACGATTTTCCGACTTATTTTCATTCGCCTCAGGAATATTCTCCAGAGGTTTAATAAAAAAAATTCTACATATTCCAGGAAAAATGAGATACGTATGGACATCCAAATTGCGTTACATATTTTCCTAATTTACCAACCTTTTAAGATATATAGGATTAAGAAGGATAACATGTTACAATTTGAGATGATAATCAATCATTATTTCTTATTTCAAACAGAAAACAAAGTTTTGATTCTTATTAATTTCATGTTATTATGAGTATTTTAATTCCCTAGCGGACGCAAGGAGTTATTTCACTCACAGAAAAACCCAGTCATTCTTAATTACCTAGACCAAGATTATCAGAAAGGCCCCAACCCATGTTTCCGAAATAATTGAGTTAAGAATTTTTTTGAGTTCCAATAGCCGTATATTTTCTCCTGCCAAAAACTGAAAGTCGAAAAACAGAAATTAGTTTGTGAAAAACGGGGGTTAAATTTTATTTTCTACTCTGAGCCTTACGCAGGAATAAAACTTCAAACCTCTTTTTCTCAGTTTCAACTTAATGTGGGTTGGTTCCTTTGCCTAAGTCTTGGCTACCATAATATTGTCGGTTGCCTAAGTGGATTGCATTTTGCAATAAGGAACCACTATCTCTGGCTCTTTCATGAAAGCACATATCTGCATAGGAAAACCAATGGCATGTATGTTGTTTCTAAAATGGGCCAGAAATAGTGGTTCCTTATTGCAAAATGTAATCCAAGTGATGTACTCAAGTATTTGTCGAACGGTTATCCTATAAAGTTTGCGTTGGCAACATTGCAACTTGCACTCTGCTTCGAATGCAAGGCATGTACCTCGGTGTAGTCGGTGCAGCTATAAATGCCTGGATTTTACATAAGAATGTTTTGTCACAGATGCAACCGATCTTTGTTCATCAGTTCCTCTTTAAACCAAGTTGCCTAATGAGAGACGATATTCAAAAGTTCCTCGGACGCAAGCGAGCAATGATCCATAAATACCGGATATTTTCCGTCGTCAAGAGCAACGATTCCCGCTCTCCAGATGTTGGTCAATGAACGATACGTGAATGCGCACTCACGACAGACACTGAGAATCGAGACTGACTCGTGAGTCATGGATTCAATCGATCAGTGGAGCGCGTGCCACTGGGTATGAGGAATCTGATGATTCCAAGATCGCACGCGTCAAGATTTCGTGTTAAATCTTGGGAAGTATCGGATTCCTCGAACTGGTTATTTATAGAATCTTTGCAAGTTTTTCATAACCGTTTCAGAACCGTTGGTCGGAATCGATTAAACTGCCACGGCCAGCTAATCCAAATCTCATGAACAATGTTGAAATTCCCGCCTTTGTGAACATTTATCATGACAGTGGTGGACGGGGTAAATAACTGGGGGCGTTTCATGGCCGTGGATGTACTGTAATGGAGGAGTCGATAAAGGCCGTTTTGGGGCTCACCCTGGCTGAATTTCTTCGACTCTACGCGTTTTTGCTCATTGAGGGTCTATGGAATGCATAATGATTTGATCATTTTTGGTTTCTTTTTGGATCTAATACTGACCTAAACATGGGCCTGAAGGCCGATGGCGGCGAAAGAGGCGAATTTTTGGCATTCGGCCGCAAAACCCGCATTTATCGCCTTAACCGGCCTGCAGACTCATGTTTAGACCAGTATTAGACCCAAGTAGAGGCCGAAAATGATTAAATCGTGATGCATTCCATAGACCTTCAATGAGCAAAAACTTGTAGAGTTGAAGAAATTCAGTCAGGGTGGGCCCAAAAACGGCCTTTATCGATACTCCTCCATGAAGAAATTTCCGTAATGTCTCCCAGTTGTTTTATGTAAAATATAATAGTTAATTGTACGATGCTGAAAAAATCCCCGAAAGAAAAATGTGTAGATTAAGATATTGGCATTTTACCTCTTTTTTTTTTTAACTATGTAATGAAAAATGTTCACTCTCACTTGCACTCGACGCTTTTTGACCAACACGCGTTTCGGAGCTCATAAGTTCATCCTCAACCGTTTTTAGCTGACTCGCTGAAAGTTCGCTAAAAACCTCCGAAGGTAGAGCTTCAAGTCCGACACGCTTGTCGGTTAAAAACTACCAAGTGAGAAGGAACAGGTCAAAGCGGACACCAAGCGCGCAACTATTCAAACTCCGGAGTAGGTATGTGGTATCACGCGATAATGAAGGAAAATCTTAGCTTTTATCCTGTCTCTTACTGACGCTGATGAATGTAGGTAATACTGCCTTGCTAAGGAAGAACGCCGTATGAACATTCAAGAGTTGCCAAATTTCCTTCGATAAAATATTTATTTTCTAGAAAAGTTATGAATATTTCTCATTTAAATTTTTAGAATATTCAGGTAAAATTGCGAACTAAATTATCTGAAAAATTGGGAGGAAAATATTCATAAATTTACCAGGAAATTCGCGTTACATCAAAGGAAATTTGGCAACGGCTGAAGGTTCTTACGGCGTTCTTCCTTAGCACGGCAGAATATTCTTGCATCGTTATCAAATTCGCGTATTTTCTGGGTATGGATGTGAAAAAACGCGTGATTTGTTTATAATTAAACAGAGCAGCTGGAGAAAATCACGTATTTGCCACACTAAATTTACGTGAAAATCACATAGTAATTTTTCAATTTTTTACAAAAACGCTGTAAACATTGCGTATTTCTCGCGCTACTGAAATGATGACGCGTAATTTCTTATACATATATATTTTTTTTTTTACAAAACTGCAGGAAAAATCGCGTATTTTTCGCAATACAGATATGAAAATTTCGGTATTTCTTGTGTTACCATACACCTCTGGAAAAATCACGAATTCTTTTAATGTTCTCAACAATTATCATAAAAAGGTTTTATGTATCAGCATGGCATGGGTCAAAGCGGACTCCAAGCGTGCAGCAACTCGGATCGAGGAATAGGTATGTGGTAAGGTATCACGCGAAATTGAAGGAAAATCCCTTTGCTTGACTCAAATTACTGACGTTTAGAATGCAGGTGTGTGTATGCGGAAATCAAACGGGCAACTATTCGAACTCCGGAGTAGGTCTACGGTATCACGCGAAAATGAAGGAAAATATTAGCTTTCAACTGGCTCTAATTACCGAAGTGTATAACTTCTATGCAGCGTTATCAAAATCGCGTATTTTCCGCGATATTTAGGCAAAGGTCCTTTTATTTTTATGAATTTTCAAAATCGACAAAAAAGTCGGGTATTTGCCTCGATGTTTACGTAAAAATCGCGTAATGATTTCTCACTTTTTTACAAAACTGCTACAAGTGTCTGGCGCTATTGAGATGAAAAAACATAATTCCGTAAATATTTATACAAAACCGCTGGACCCTTCATGTGTTTCCCGCGCTACTGAGATGAAACAAGTAATTTCTAATAATTTTTTTTTACAAAACCGCTGGAAATATTCCTGCTATATTGAAATGAAAATCGCCTAATTTTGCGCTTTTCGACGAAACTACCGAAAAAATTGCGTATTTCTCGCGAAAATAGCATTATTTCCAAGATTTATGAGAAGCACTGAAAAATTGGAAATTTTTCAATGTTTACGGCAATTTTCATAAAAATATTTTATCTATTAGGATAGGTCAAATCGGCCAAGCGCGTAACACTGTTCGAACTCCAGGGTAGGTATGCGGTGTTGTATCTCGCGAATATGAAGGAAAATCTTAGCTTTTCGACCATCTCTTGGGCACTGCATCATGTAAATGTTATAAAAATGTTTTTAAAATACTAACGAGTACCTTTTAGAAGATTGCTTCAATGTCTGCATGTTTCAGGATGTAGCCTGAATAATTTCAGTGTATTTTCAGGTGTTTCTTTAATTCTCCCCTTCTTTTTGTGAAAATAACCTTTATGTACTTAAAACGTTTTTCTGAATATGTTTTCCTTTCTTACCCCCAAAAAATGTGCATAGAATAATGCCAATACTGCACATAAATCTTTTTAGCTACATCATTGATAACAGTGTGCCCCCCTCCCCTTTGAAATCACAAGCACTGAGAACTCAACTACCCCAGAAATAGTACCTTATTTAGCCGGTATTCGTTGGCGCAGCGCTGTCATCGCAATGTGCCAACGCCAGCTGCCAGCTCATTGGTTGATGACATCCATGCCTGCTGATGTGTAGTCCTAACCTCCAAATTCGATTTGTTTACATGGCTTATCACCGATTGTGGCACAGTATTTCGTGCAAAGATTTTTATTAATATAGTGTCATAAAATATCATTGAATCGAATAATATTCTTCCACCTGTACTTGACTGAACCATCGCTTGACCATGGCGGTTTGTATTTTTATTTACTTACTAAGTTAAGAAATTTCTCACAGACTCTATTAAGGTACTTCCTGTATCTTCCTTTGAAACATAAGTTTAAATTCTAAAACTGGAATAATTTAATTTACTATGACTCAACTAAAATTTATTTGAGGCCAACCATTTTCTTATTTTATATTGCTTCCATCAATCTTCATCCTTCTTGCTTTAAGTCCAAATAAAGGAGAAGAGATGATCCTGTAGCTCGAATCCTGATGCTGAAATCTTAGAATCTCATACTTATGTCACCAATAGTGATCTATGATTTTTTATAAAAAAACCCAAAAATGAAAGGACATTTTGCTAGAGATTTTGTAGCTACATAGACTTATCAATTAACTGCAGAATTAAACAGCAACTTTTGTGTCGAATGCAGTTCAATTCAGAAAGTTAGTTAGCATAGAACAATTTTCCATCAGTATAAAACAGCATAGACAATCTGCTCAGTGAAAACCCATTTGCAATTTTCAAAAAAGGAAGTAGACACTTGTCCAATTCATCATAGTTGCACACTCCTCCACGGTCAAAGGTGTATCAACTGCAACATTCTTAGAATATTTAAAACATGTTAAAGATAATTATACCTAATAAGAACGACTGGCTTTAGGTTTCTTATGATCGTGGAGTTATAATTTCATAACATATGGTCCTATCCAAACCTCATTTAAGACGTGGAGGAGAATTTTTCTTTGACATTAAGTAGTTATCTCAAGGGATACTGTTACGTAAGCAGAAGGCTGTTAACTAATCCAACTTATTTTGTTTTTGTCGAACCTCCTGTCTGCATGCAAAATCCATTCTCATGGCAAGCCATGAAAATCAAATCTGAGAGATTGTGTCGGAATCTTTGGATGGGAAATGGAGAGGAGGTAAAGAATGAGATGAAATAGGGTATTTAATTGTATATTTGAGGTAATGTACTTCCTTTTTACCGGTCTCTTTCTATCAATAATTAAAGACTCATATATTCTTTTTTCCAGCCTCAAAAAGGTAAACAGGCAACTAAAGGCGCTAAACTCATTGTATCTGAAAACTCACTGACTCTAGAGTTTTACAAAAGGATGATCCTTGGAGCAAATGCTGTGTTTCTTGTGGGCACATACTTTTTATCCAATCTTTTTAGTTTTTGGAGCATTGTAAGTATGCACTCATGTTATGTAGTCATTACTGAATAGCCAATTAAGGACAGTTTTACCATGTATTTTGCACATCTTCAATTTTTTTCTGTTCGTCCTGTGCATCTATTCAATGGCATCCACGAAATCGTATTCAAATGCGCAAGTTGCATTATTTAAGTTTTTTGTATTTTTTCCTTTTTTTCCTTTCTTTAATGAACATTAATAGTTGACAAGAGTAACATCCACACTATCATACTTGTCGAAAACTAATGTAGACATACTGACAATGATGCAACTAAGTACCTACCTCCTTAATTATTTGCATCAGTAGGTAACCACTACAAATTCAATTGCTTTTTGAAAACGTGATTATAAGGTAATCATTGCAGTTTTCATCATATTATATTTTTGCAGATTGTAACTTTTTTTATATGGTAATGGCCGAAGATAAAACAAGAGCTTTATTTTGAATCATTTGTTGCATGGCACTTCCTACTTTTAGAAGAAGAGGCAACTCTTCTCTAGCTAGCTGACAGTTCCAGCCAATTTTTAGATTGATTGATGCAAAAAATTTTAACCTTCATGGAAAATAACACCGGAGAGTTTTTTTTTTTTTTTTTGCGATGAAATAACACAATAATTTTTTATCAGGTACTTTTCAGAAACTTCAAAAACCAATTCTCGAGAATTTTCCAAAACGAATGATGGGTAATAAGTTTCACATTCTTTCCGTACGCGTTAGAAATTATTTTTTGAAAGTCCTTAAGATAGTGGACTGTGGTATGATGCATTCTGAGTCACTTCCCTAAATTGAGAGAAACACAACCTAAAGAGACCTCAATTTTAAGAATACTTAGAAGTTATCCAAGTAATCACATTTAAAAAGTGCTTTAAATTGCTATCTTGTGATACAGTGGCTTTAGAGGAAAATTATTAATCCTTTCACTATATTTTCTTCTGTTTTCAGGTTTTGCTTCTACTTGCCAATGCTGCATATTTAGGCAGCTACAAATTCATGGAAAAAATGGCTCATCCAACTTATTCGGACTCTGGACAATTGATAGACAGTGGTGTTGATCTCAACATGGAAGGTGGTTTAGCTGAGTAAGTGTCTTGCAATCTGCAGTGTTTTTTTTTTAGTTTAAAGTTTCACTGTCATAGGTTCTGCAAAAAAAAACTTTCAGTTTTCTTTTTTCAAGGCAAAGCTGTATGTTTGCAAAATTTCATCTTCCTCTATTGTAAATTGAAGGGAGTTCTCAATTTTACATTTTATGTAGATAATAGTCTCACATTCTGGAAGGATGATAATCATTAAGTCTCCCCCTCCCCCCCACCGGACATTAAGTCTCTTATTATTTTGAATTGCCTTCTTATTTTCCTTTCCTCTGACTAAATTTTCATGTGTTCTTAATGATTTTTTCAGGCATGTGAAAGATTTGATCATCCTAACTGCTGGATGCCAAGGTCTGTCTGTGATCTCCAGGTATTTCTGGATGCTGTGGATTTTGGTAAGTCCTTGTTAGTGGCAAATTCCTAACATTATTAATTAGTAGTTATTGAATTCAGTAATAAATAAAAATGATAAGTATTGTGGGTTTTTATCACAAGCTAACTAAATTTTAATTTAGATTTTCGTATTTTTTTTTAAAACTTTAAAATTAATAAAACTACCAAGAACATACAGAATAAATGTCATTTGGTAATTTATTGGCTCAGACTCAGCTCCTAAAGGGAAAAGATAGCCGTTCTATTTGTAAATGGCCATACTTTACCTTTAAATCTTAGAGGATTTTGGATAAGGTTTACATAGAGAATAAGGGGAATGAGCTAGGACAAGTTTGAAACTCAAAAAGTGATACATTTTCTTGTTTTAAAAATTTTAAGTGCAGAAAAAATATTAGTTTGTGGAACTATGACCAAAGAAAAAAAGTTTTCGAAAATGTATATCTTAAGTTGAGGCAAAAGAATAGAAAATACTTCGAACCTGCCTCTCTCAGGTTCAACTAAATGAAGTTGATGAGGGATGGTATAATTCTGCTTGACTTAGGTCAGCCATGCCAACAGACCCAGTTCATTGAGTTTATCTTCTTTTGGAGTATTGTGATAACACTCTTTAAGATTGGAAAGCCAAGAAGTATTTCTTCCTCTCAAGTCCAAATTAATCTGTTTTGTTTACTTTTTAGGCTCCTGCAAGAGCTTTATGGATGTTGTGGACCAAATTCCTTGGACCATGGTTCTTCCAACAGCCAAGTCCTGCTGAAGAAGAACAAGATCTGAAGAAGAAGAAAAAGCTCGAAAGGAAAATGAAAAGAATTCATTGATTGAAAGACTGATAGCAGCTTATATCTATCAAGTGTATTACAAGGGTTTTTTTTTCCTTTCTTATTTCTTTTTTCCATATGTCTGCAGAAGATCTTTGTTCCTGCAGCTAAACTCAAAGAATGGAATCTGATTAGTTTTTGGGGCTAAAATTTAACTTTAATTTCTAAAGGTGATGGTTATTTCTCCTCTTTTTTTATCTGTAACATCACTGTCAATTCTTTTGGATTTGTACCTGTTAATTATAAGCCTAATTAATCGGGGCATCAACCATCCAAAGTTTTCTAAAATCTTAAAATTCCGTATTTCAGAGGAAAATGTGTGAGTTCGGTGATTTTTCCAAGAATGGAAAAAAAATTAAAGAATACCCATGGTAATACCAAATATACCAAAGGTAAAAATCTAGAAATGTCTTCCTCAATAAATGACCATACCTTACCATCTCATGAAAATTTATAAAGCCCTCCCTCACAACAATGTTCTATGGATTCTCCAGACAGCTAACCTCCTCTATCATGCAAATATAAGTATTGGCCCCATCTGTTTCATTTTAAATGAGGCCGTATCCTGCTCATAGGAGATCTCAGCAGTTTCAAATTCTAACAGTTCCATTGGGTGAGGCTAAACTAATGTCAGTGAGAGAAAGCCATCATTTCAAGCATCTTCCCTGAATAAACAAAGTTCTTTGAGAAAGTGATACAAGACGCTCAAAGGCAGGAGTGCTGGCTTCATGGATTTTTGTGCTGTTTATAAAGGAAGAATACATAGGGCTTGAAGAATAGTTTTGTCAATACCTATGTCTTTTGCTATACTTCTGGTCTTGATGATAATTTGATATGCCATTTCAAAATGCTCCTTGTGGTTAAATGTACCTTGTTTTTGTCTGCTTTTTGCACGTTTCTCTACTTACAATGCTTTAATGAATTCGGACGAGTTCCTTCAAGATGATGTGTCATACTGCTGATTATGTTTTACCTTCTGTAAATTGATAACTGTAAATTGGTACTGTAATTCGTCACTCCTCTGATGTAAGAGGGTACCTCTATATCCGTATGAGCCAGAAAGCATTGAGTCATAAAGAGAACAGGACCTTACATCAGAGGGGCGATGTAATGACACATTACACTCTCTAGTAATTTGTAACGCACTCTATGAATAAAAAAAAATTCATGTTAAGTAAGGGTTAGGGAAGAAACAAAGTAGAAAAATCGATGATTATCATATTATTTATTTAAAATATCTTTACTATGACTTTAATAAAACATAAATAATTTCGATTTCATCTGATTTCAATTTTTGATGAAAAAAGAGTGCCTCTGACAGATGTTCCTTAACATGACTACGTTGCTCTCCATCTTCCTACCACTGTCTTTGAAGATGAAAATGCTCCATAACTCATATTTTTCTGTTGGATTTCTTGTTTTTGTTTTTGAAGAACTACTTCTGTTCCTTCTTTTTTCAATTATCTTCCTCGCAAATTCGCGTTTCAGTATTTAAGTTAATCCAAGGACTTGTGAGCCTTTAGTCATAGGAAATACACATGATTGACTAGTGAGAAATCACGATATCATTTGTAAAGGACAATTGAATTGTTTGATCAAGTTCCTAATCATCTGTGCACTCACAGCCAACTGGCTGTTCGAAAAACACTTTGTGTTGTCATCTACGTACATCCGTAATTCCTAAGTATTGATTTGTATAAACATTTTTGCAAGAAAGTGGTAGGTGGTTCAGAAAAATGTTAGAAATTTTTTGTGAGACTACCAGTGGTGTATAAAACTAATTCTATACGTGCAAATTTGAAAAATGCACCAGGTAGTTGCTTGATATATCCACCAGACAAGGTCCAATTTAAAAAAAAGGTCACTTGGTCTTTCCTCAAAATCTTACAAATAAAAATGATTCACAGAACAGGAAGTTCGGAAATCAACTCCTGCACGAGGTATGAACAAGTATTTTTAATACAGATCAAATGGGAGTTGGATGGCACTGATGAGCCCATTGGTATTTTTGCCATTCAAGCAATGCTCTAATTGTATATCCCTAGCACACTGTTTAGGAGTTGATTTTCAGACTGCTCGTCGCGCCATTCAATTTCCTTGTCAAATCTTGAAGAAAAAAAACATATTATTAAGTGCTTCAATTCATGCCTTGTTTTAAAGTCCACTGATCGTGAGTTTGAACTGAGCAAAGTGATTAAAAAAGTGTCGCTGATTTCTGTAAGCGCATGTGCGGAGACAATCTGTTGTCTTGGTGTTAGCATGAATCATGTAATTGTATGAATAATCTTATTGTCAATGGTGGAGAAATTTTCTAACCCAAAATCTGGATTCAGATGTTTTTACTTATCGTTTATGTACCTACCACTTGCAGCCAATGTTTTGGTTGTTTAGCATTCAGAATTGGATTAATTGAAAAATACATGTATTGTTTTTTTATTGTTTTAAAAATATGTGATAATTATTTGAATACCCATCCTTTTAACTCTTACTTCAGTTGAAATTTTAAGGGTCAAAAATACTAGACCCCCTGGATCCCCACTTGTATTTACTAAACAGCAAAAGCTGCTTTTCAGCGGTCAGGAGTCTGACTACCGACTATACTGTCCGGTGGCTGTCATAATTTTATTTTACTCAGGGCAAGTCATTGCAGAAACTGTGGGTGGTTTTTAAGAAAAATATTTAAAATACTCGCATTTGAGCCCCTTTTACACACATCCTCAATCCTCATACATGAGAAAATTTAAAATGCAAGGCACTCATTTTCGCCTTATCTTACCATCAGGAGTCAAATTCAATTTGTATGGTTAGACTTTTATCATCAAACACAAGGGAAGCTTTCATTATTTGAAGGAAAAATTGACAACTCAGATAAAACAAATTATTTGATAAAATTCTTTTACTTGAAATAATAAAGGCATACAAGAGATTTTTCAACATTCTAACATGAGATTTCCAACAAATGGTAGATAAGATATGTATACATTTGAATAAGTACAAAACAACACATAAAACAATATTATTGATGTTAAATATAACAGGTGCCAAGCCTCTAAAAAGAGAAATATTGCAATTAAGAAGTGTATCTCACGAAATTGTGAAGTTTTCCAAAGAACATTTTAATCGCCAGGGTTTCTTCACTAAACATTTAGTGTAACATCCATCCATGTCTTCATTTTTCTACTCACAAACTTTTTCATCGATATGTATTTAACTCTTTTTATTTGTAGAAGGGTCTGAATTATACAGAAAAAAGGTCAGATTTTCTAAAATCGAGGTGACAAGTTTTCAAAGATTTGTGACAAAGTCTATTGAACTCTTCGGTGCAGTTAAAGCAACTACCTTCACCTTTGCAAGGCAATCAAATTGCATAATTTCACAGCCATTTATTCAGAAAGGAGAACATTTTGTGGCTCCTCATTTTGAAAACTCTTTAATCTTCCTCCTGTGACAGTCTTACTTCTACTGTTGCTCAAAAATGTTCACGATTTTCATGCGAAGCACCTTCTCTATCCAAAACTTTTCCTACAACCTTGCCATTTTAAAGCAATGTCGAAATGTTCCTGCAAATCTACCATTATTTTCTTACGTTTTAAGAACTTGTCACCTTAATGTTCTACTGTAAAGTTATTTTTTTTTAAATTTTAAAAAGAGTTAACTTTTAGGTCAGAGGTAAAATAAGTTTTCAAATTACCAGCTGCTCTTTTTGGCTAGCTGTGGATTCTTTTACAGGGGCGATCAGATGCATTTTACTATTCGGTGAATCAGCAAAAGCACACTACCTGGAGGGATGGAATTTCAGGAGTTATAGCTCTGGGTTCAATGGCTCAATCAAAAGTCAATACAAAATTCTGAACATTACATGAATGCAAACGTCCCAAAAATGAGATCTCACATTATCGTAGAGTCATCGTCTGAATTAAAACTATTATCGAACATTCACAATCTTTCAATGTCTAATAAAACATCTGCTATCCCATGAACTATTTTCGAGGATTAAGATTATTTAGAGACAAAAACCGCCTCTACGTTGAACTGCTACACGATTAGTGTCTTTGAGTAGCAATGATTATGGCAATGAATAAGTTACTGAAATAACTTGATCCATAACGTGTAGCAGCACTAATACTGAGTAACATGACATCAAATTTGTGAGGATTTACTGAAAATTTATATCGAAACCTGCCATGACGGATGTCATTAATGAGCTTAATGAGTAAGAGAGAGACATTATAATGATATCTCTCTCTTACATATTGAATCTTGAGTTACACTGGTTTTCAAAACGAATATTCAATGAATCCTCACAAATTCGATGTAATACTACTCAGTATTGATGCTGCTTCAAATTATCAACCATTAATTTGTGCATTACGATACTTATTGCTTCTCAAAAACACAGGCCGTGTAGCAGCGCAACATATTGGTGGATCTTGTCCCTAAATCACTTGAAATCACCTGTAATGAATCAGGCATTCCATTTGGATCAAAATCCCTGTGAAATCCCACGTACAAAAAGGGAAGCGATGGTTTTCATAAATGAAGGCTGCAATTCAACTTGAAAACACTACTTGTACTGCTGCTGGCCATAAACTGAAGGTACTTAAGTTAAAATTTTACCTTAAAGAAAACATTTTGAGGATATGACATTGGATTTCATAACTGGAGTGTGAGATTGATGGGGGTGGGTGCTTGATGAAGCAATAATACTGGACTCAAAATCCAAGCGTGGCATTTCACATTGCTCGCATTTTGGCAATGCAGGGTAGTTTATGAAAGTGCACATATTGCATTGCCATCCAACTTCTTCCGAGTTGTGTGACTGAGCTGAAACATAAAAGAGAGAACAGATAAAAAATTTAACTTTGCTTTTTTTAAAAAATGTTTTTTTAATTTTAATTTTTTTAAAATTTAAGTTAATTTCGTGTCGCCACATTTTTACTCATACATTTTTGATGGTAGGTATTTTGACGAAACATGTTAGTAAATAAGTTATGCATTACCATTTCATATAACTTTTTTTAGGGGCTGTCCTTAAAATAAGTAGCGCTCAAGGGGGGGGGGGGGGATGTTAAGGTATTAATTTCCATGCAAATGTCAGAAACATATGAACCTTTTTTCTTCAGGTATTATTCATTCAATTGACTAAAATTGCAATTCCTGAATGAAGATTCTTTCTCTATTCACTATTCAAAATGTGACTCAGGGCAATGAACCAAGAACCAGACTTAGTTTCCTTGTGAGGACAGCGCTGATATTTTAAAAAAGTTTAAGTTAGGTCTTTTTCAAAAATTCCCTGGCTTTTCCCTGATTTCGCTGACCTAATAAAATTCCATTTTCAAGGTTTTCTAGACCTGCAGACACCCTGTCCAGTTTTCAGAATTCCCGTCTACAGGCTTAAATTCACGGTTGGATTAAGAACATATTGTGTTACACAAATTATTGTAGGCTGCATATTAAAATCAGAAAAAGGAGATGAGAATCAAAATTGAGGAATACATAGAGGAAAAGTGGAGGTTGGGAAATTACTGTACAGTTAATTGAAAGAACTGGGAATACAATATGCATACCTGATACATTTTGGTTCCTCCAGACTAGAGATGAATCCGATTCATGATAGATTTCCTTGTAATAATCTTCGTTTGTCTCTCCTAGAGGAACTGAAAGTCGAAAATAAACTTGAAACATTTCATTATAGACAGCAAGTTGGGTACATTGAAAAAAAAATGAGCAAAATCAAGAGAAAAAAGAGTGAGGAAAATGTTTTAACTTGAAAAATAGACGCTAATAGTGGTACCATAAGGATTCTCTGCTATATTGAATCATATCTGAATGACAACAATGCCATAATATCTGTCAGTGCATCTAATGGGAATAAATTGGTACATATCCCTTTTCTATGAAGTAAAGCTAATAACGTCTACACTGCTCAAGAGGAACTTTCAAAACTTATATTTTAGCGTGATGATTATGTGTTTCTCACAAAAAATGAGATCTTGGTGAAAGCGACCTAAAGGCGTGTTTACTTTTACTTCTTTTCATCTGATAAAATTGATTGATACACATGAGGAAAAAAGACTTTAGGTCTTTGATGTATAAAAATAAAAAAATAAAACATTTGAGAGGAAACTAATTCTCTTATTTTTATCCAACCTTCTCATGCTTAAGAATTAGACTGCAACTAAAATTACCTTGTTCATTAGATGCTAAATCTACTTGAGAAGTCCACTTTGCACATTCGCCCCTGAGAAAAATTATATCTTCTTTCACCTGGACCAGCTGGAACAAATGAGAATTGTGTAAGGAACAGTAAAATATTGGGAGAGTTTTCAATAAACTTAACCGTAGACTTATTAGCTGTTTCCCGTTCTGGAATGAAACCTAATAATTGATATTGGCTATAATATAACTATTAAGAACTATTTTAATCACGACTATGATATTTCACAGAAATTAGAATTGAATAGAAAGAGTACAAAAAACAATTTTCTTACCTTCTTTGGGATGGACTGCCTTAAAAACAGGTACTTTTTCAGTCTATTTATCTCTTCTTCAAGATTTTGCAATCGCTCCACTTCTGATTCTAAAACTTCTTCCAACATCTGTTTCCGTTTGATTTGTTCACTGATGACAACTGAAAATGCAATTCGTTTTAAATTAAATGAAATACCACCTTTGTGGATACTGGACAAACGAATAAATTAAATGATTTTTCTTCCATTTTTTAGCACTTTATGTCAAGAAGAATTACTTTAGAAAATCTTAAAACATCTATTCCAATAAAAATGTCCTAATAGTTCAACAGAATGATATTGAACGCTCTCCAAAAGAATGCTCACTGAAAGATTAGCGCCTGTTACTTCAACTTGATTGCCTGCAGATGTTTCAGAGAAATGAGATGAGTTTTTTATCATTGACAGCATAATTTCAAGCAGATTTTCCAATGTTTTCTACTTTCAGTCTTAGTTAAAAATAATGATTCACATCTTTCACTCAGAACATTTGTGATACTATATTACAAATAGGTATCGTAATTTTATAACACTAGTCTGCACCGCAAAAACAGGCAGATGAGGGGATGTTAGAAGCTGACTTAAGGTACTGTTTATAGGTTGAAAAGGTGGTACATTCGCTCCTCAGGCTCTGTAAAGCTATTCAACCTTGAAACAACAGACTAGGCCATTCACCTAACTTCGTTCCTCAACTACTATTTTCAGGGTGTAGACTACAAAATATTTATTTCAGAATGATATTCCTTCTATTTCTCTACAGCTTTAGAAAAATTTTAAAAAAAGAGAAGGAAAAAAATTCATACTTACGTTGTGTTGATGGATTGGCATTTTCATTTGACAAAGATAAGGATTTTAAACGAGAAGCTACTTGTGATGTTGGTCCTGCTGGTCTAAAATTTATTTCCAATTGAGACTCATAGCCAAGTTTGGGATCATTTGAAAACGTTGAATATGTAATACTAGAGCCGTGCATGACAATATCGATAGGTGATTGTGGCTCAGAGCTGGGTGGTCTTAATATGAAGTTAACAGAAGTAAAAGGGCGAAGAGCTTTGTTAGGATGTAAGTGATGGCCAGGAGTAACTGGTTCCATTGTTAAAGCAGTCTTTTGGATATTAGGAGCTGATCGTTCAGTAGTAATGTCAACAGACACAGGAATGTAAGAATGATAGTTCGCTACTTCTGAATGTTGATCCACCGCTGGAGGGGGTCCAGGGTAAGACACAGCCTTTACACATGTTCGCTCCCTATTCATATTATCGCAAGAATCACTTTTGGTGTGAGAGGAAGTGTCACAAGACTGAGGCACGAATCTTTTCATATTATCAATGTTTTCAAAACTATTCCTGAATTGAGAGCATTTGATGATATTTTCATTTGTCTGGTTTATTATATGATTGCTATCTGTTAAGTTTTCCTCTGACTTGGAGGCAATTTCTGATTTCCGTAGGCGGCAAATTTGCCTTCTCTGCTCCATACTCATTTTTGAGCCATCCAAAGACTGCCGACCATAATTCTGTCGCTTAAAGAGTTCTTTGCTACCATTATCCGACGTCATTTTGTGAAGAACTTCAGAAACCGCATACAGATGTGAAAAACAATTCCTGATTTCCTGCCAGCCAGCTCACATAACTTCTAAACAGCATGCGTTGGTATAGTCATTCTGTTCTGGAAAAAGAAACACATAAAAGAACAAAATTAGACAGCTTGTACTCTCTACTGACGATGAAAAAACTGAAAAAAGAAACTGACATTTTAAAAAAAGTTCAAGCTTCTCTGAATTTCAATGAAGAACTTGATGGTATAACTATAGCACTGTTTGAGGCAACAAAAAATGTTCGTTCTCTGGGCACTGTGTTGTGTATTGACTTAAAATATTGGATACAAATGATCTTATCTGACGACACCTCTAACAAAATGAATACTCAACACAGTACCTATTAGGACTTAAGGTTATGTTTTGTTGTTTATGTCATGCCCATCAAATGTCAGTAAATCATGAATCGCAAGAATGGCAGGGTCAAAATCAATCAATTCGTGTATTTGAAAGAGATTACATCATTGTAAGTGATCGGATTTGATCAGAATGACAGAGAATCCTAATGGCAGTGACATACATATTTTTATTCTGTGCTAGAGCTCGCGCATCGTATGTTGAGACAAACGTCAATCTCCAATTAGCTCTGAATTTGCACCACTCAATAGGGTAATAAATGCAGTCAACTGGCACCACTGGTAAATGCTGACATAAACAATACTTTGATGTTTGTCTCTAGAAGCGTATTTTCGTTGATGATCGGTCGAGCCAAAATGTCGCGGCAATGGCGGCGGGATCATAATCGGGTTTGTAAACAGACTTCCGAAATTGATGCTGGTCGGATACCATCATCTTCATCAGGTCATTTCTAAACCCTACTTTTTGTAGGATTATATTTTGGCTCCAACGTTTGCAAGAATTCCACCTTCTATCTGTCTGGTGAATCACGATGTTGTTCCGAAAAATTATGATCGCGTCAAAACAAAATACGGAACCGCTTGATCCACCCATTTTGGTTCGACCGATCATCAACGAAAATACGCTTAACATACGATGCGCAAGCTCTAGTAATGTGCATGACAAATATTAGGACAATCGTTGCTCCTCACACTTTTGGTGTCAGGATTAAACTCAGCTTCTTCCCTAGATTTTTTAAAAATTCTACAGATATGCTTTCAAGAAATTGAGACATCCATATGTTCCAAACAAGGAACTCGGCAAAAATATCAACAAACCTCAGGCTACTCTGAACTGACTGAATAATCCAACATGAAAAATGTTCGGTTCTTGAAGTAACCAACTCATGAAACTGAGAAAACAGTAGCAAAGAATGACATCTTCACTTCTAAAGTTTCCTCATGAATGTAAACAATGTAATTGAATGAGGGTGCATTCACATTGCCCATGACTCGGTGAAAAAGATTGTTTCATCATCTGCCAGTCCCAGAATCTAGGTTGAAAAGTCACCGATTCAATTTGGTGACCGAGAGGTAGAAAGGAATTGCCTGTGAAAATCTGCATGATGTTCTATCTGCACCTAGTACCAGGCATGTGCTATTCCCATGATAAATGGAATGTTACTGGCCCGAAGAGGGTGGATACATTTGGATTGAAATGTACAATGACAAGAAGGGACCAATACTTATGGTGAGGTTAAAAGATGATAAAAGGATGATAATCTGCCTGGACGATCATTCGTTTGATGACTGGATTCACGGATGGACAAAACCAAGAATAAGAGGTGGGATACTGAGATAAATTAGGGAGAAGGTTAACTGGAGAGCACATACCACTGAAGTTGCTTTCTGTCAGGAAAAAACACACTTCACAAACACAATCATGAATTCGGTTATGACTTTTTAGAAGATGCAGATTGTGTAGCAAATGAAAGTGATTGCAAATGATGAGATAATACTGTCACTAACAGTGCACGGCTGAGCCAGACACTTTCACTTATTTTATTGTGTTTACGAGTAAAATTGATTCTGTAATTTTCCGAAATTTATTACGAAATACACTTTTTATCTGACAGCCACACGAGAAACACCAACCACCGGCCAAGGTTGATAACAAGTAATCGTTGATTGGATTCCCGCGTTTTTTTCGATTTTCAACCGCGAAATTTAAATTTGCGGGCTTTTTCCAAGGGAGCGACAGCGACAGCGCACCGCGCGCCGCGCCTCCCTGACGGAACCCACTAAAGTATTCACTTCTATTCGAGTTGATTATGCACCAATTGAATTCAGTGCAACGTAAGGCAGAAACTTCTGGCGACTTATGAGCTCTCAATCAGAAGCAATCTGTAATTCTGTTAAAATCTGTTGAATCTAGGGTGCCGAAAACTTTTTTTATACGCCAATTCCCAAGTCGAGTCTGATTGATCCGTGCTTAAATACATTTATTTTGATAATTATGGGAATACAATCTACGTTATTTCCATGTTTGAGGGGGTAATTTGAAATTTTCATCTTATTGGTGACATTCTAGCGCTTTCTTAACCCCCCCCCCTCCTTTGCATCATGTATGACTCCCCCTACCGCTGAATAGATAGTCGGGTCAGTTTGTCCCAGCGTCAGATTTCCAAGGATAATGATCGTCCAAAAAAAAATGCCCCATTACGACATAACTCGCAAAAATACAAATTTTTAGCCATGCGCCCTCTAGGCCACTAAAGGGCGGCCTTTAAACTTTTGGTTTTCTTCTTCTTTTTCAAAACAATTCTTGGTTTGGATACATCTTCGCAGACTTTGAGCAAACTCAACCTTCAAATTTCTCTGATTTCAAAAATGAGACACCTGAACGCCCTTTGATGACGGCACAGAGATGCAACTATTCATACGTGCTGGCATATCCGTATATTACATCTACAAATTTGGAAGCGCGAGGCGTAATATGTGAACTCACGATGACGGCGTAGAGATACAACTATTCGTGCTTGATGGATGTCCGTGTTGCATCTGCAAGATTGAAGGCGCGATGGCGCGATGGCGCGCGGCGTGAACTCCCAATGCTCCGCTCCACAATGCTGTTCATGAGGTGTCGCTCAGATTCGGTAGAAAAGTTAAAAAACGAGGCCCGAATACGTCTATCCTATCTTCGACTGAATTGACACTCGTTCCTTTTCTTTTTTTTCAATTTGATGTCTGATTTCTTCTCTAAGATGTTTTTGTAGGTAGACCTTTATCTAAGGCCTTATGCCAATCCCATACAACCGGCGGGGCACGTGCTTTTAGCCAGCCTCGAGTCAATTTGGCCCGACTTGGGCATTTAAGGTTTAATCTATCAAATCTATTCTGATACTTTTTTCTCTAATTGCAAGATTTCTGCATCGTCCAGTTGCAGAATTTCCTATTTCAATTTTTTTAATATTTCTGATTAATAGACATGAGTTAGCTTGAGCGCTCATGCAGGTCTCAATATTTAACTTTTTGAGGTTGCCATGCTCGAACCATCAAAACCATCAAACTAGGTTTCAGTAACTTCCGTTGCGCATATCATGTTCATGAAATTTTAGTGAAGAGACATATAAGAGGCCCCCTTTTTCCGAGAGAGCCCCCCCCCCCTCTTACGGTTAAAAAATGTAGTTACAAAAAACAAGTCGCGAGATTTTAGTTTGCATTGGTCGGGGAGTGTCTAATTATGTTGGAAATAACGTACACTCTATACTGGCATAGAAATGAATCACACAGTTGGAAGTAAATTGGCTGGAGTAGTTTGGAGAAAATTTTTTTCTGATAGAAACTTAAATCCTAATTTTTCCGCGATGCTCTGGTTATTGCAACGGACAGAACGATGACAACAATGCATAATAGTCCGAAATGTACCAGGGTAATGAACGCACAAAAAATAGGTGACAAGGGCTAACATCATATTTTTAGCCGTGGTTACCAATTTTGTGTGCGTTTTTTCATATTTGTTGGTTGTGGTTAATAAACTCTGACTTACTGACCTTAATTCCTTTAAAAAAAATGGATCGGAAATCATTTACCTTTGAATACGTGGATGTTGTCACAATGATACACACTGACCAATTTTCTCGCATAAGAGGTCGGAATATCTGTTTGAAGATACTAGCGGCTTGTGCGATGCAACTAGGTATTCGTGTGTTACGGAATGGAATTGCATACCCAAATAAATGAAGGCGCATTGACAATCGCACATCACTCAAAGCTCCATTTAATCTCATTGAAAGTGGTCACACCTGCAACGAATTGTTGACCGACATACGTGCATGATTTAAAAGCATGGATCGGGAATTCCTCGAATAGGAAGGTGTTTTTCTGATTTCACCTCTAATTTCAATCTGCCTATAATTTACCATTCAGTAATCCGGCGTCCAAAACCAGGGTGCGCAGGTTTTCACCATAGGACACCGTCTTTTTGTCAAACAAACAAAAATACAACTCATAGCAATGCCGCATTAATTCAACTTAAGTTCCTGTCGATCTTTCGCAGAATCGATTCAATTTACGTAGTTTCTAGAAAAGATTAATTACCATTCAAACATTTTCATATTGGGCCAGAGAATTAATTGAACTCATGCGAGCCACGATGCAACGCGACCAAGCCGAGACTCGCCCTACACATGTTTTCTCTTTTTTGAATATTACGCAGAACAAAGTAAAGAAGAGTCTAATTTGTCTAATTGTAAGTTACTAGGTTAACGCCTTGGCGGCCTCTCCCCAATACAACCCTCATTCTGATTCATTCCGTGGAAAGATTTTCTCGGTCCTTCAAAGTGTTTTATTGGGGCTCTCAAAGTCCGCAGCCGGTTTGAGAAGCTAGAAACTAATCTTCAGCATTCGAGCCCCCCAAAATTTTATCACTGGGGCCCCCTGAGGTAATGAGCCTTTCAGTAGGGTCCCCTGGAGTCAAGGGTCGAGGGTCCTGGCCCGTTTCAAATATAGTCGTGGACTCCAGCCAAGTGCGGGGACCTGCGCTTTTCATTAGGGCCCCTTTCATTCAAAATTCGGGGGCCTTGGATGCTTTTCTAGATTTCGAGGCCCCTTGTGGTCCAAAACTGGGGCCCCAAGGTCTCGTTCGAGGCGCCGATACCGCTCATTAGAAGTCTTCCGAATTTCATTTCCCTTTAAGTGATTTCTTTTTAAGCCCCCGCGGGGGGCTTCAGAGAGCTCTCGACAGAATGTTTTGTCCGGGATGCCTAACCTCCCACCCGGGACAGTCCGCCCCTGTAAACTGATATTGAAATCGATAGAAAAAGCTATAAACAATAAGATGACGAAGGGAGTATGAAGCGATCCCATTGGTTGCAACCGGTGGTTCTTACAAACTAAGGGGAAAATGATGGACTAACTGTCCGGTCTCTTGTCGGCAGGGCGGATTTACCTACTTGTCGCCCATGGGCCGCTTGTATTTTGCCGCCCCCTTCTCATTCGTTCTGAAACTTCAATAAAAACCATGAAGTAAACGTGCCGGAGGGGGAGGGGTCCATAAGACGCGTTTACTCGTGTTGGACGCTTTTTTCGCGAAAGCCCTGTCCTAGCAAAATAAGTTCGCGGAACTTTGCGCGAAAGTCAAGTTCCGTAAACCTATCTTTGTGTGGACAAGGCCTTCCATTTATAAGTATTGAACGAAAACATTATGAAAGAACAAACATAATAATGTGGTCTAATAATTCTAACTTCCGCCGCCGCACCGTGCTGACCGCACTGTATTTGGCGCAATGCGTAAAGTATTCTTACAGGCTTGTAGGCGCTATGCGTTTCACACCGACCGCTGCTGGCCGCACTGTGTTTGACGCAATGCATGAAGTATTCATGCAGTCTTGTAGGCGCTAATATGTGTTACATGCCGACCGCCGCGTCAAGGGCTTCTTTTTATCTCAAGTCCTCGTCATTATTGCTCTCTACGCCACACGCCTTTCCAGGCCAAATTGAGTGTTTCGTTTCTCTCTTAACTTAACTAATCAAAGGCGCTGTCTCTTGAATCACCGAAAGACGAAATCATCGACAAATTCAGAAATTACTATACTCTAAGGAAATGAGAGATTTTGTCGCCTTTTCTCGTTTGTAAATTTTTTCCGAATCCGATTCTTTTTAATACTTATATATACATTTAAAAAAATGTCAAGATTTGCCGCCGCCCCTAAATTTGCCGCCATGGGCCACGGCTCATGTGGCCACCCCCTAGATCCGGCCCTGCTTGTTGGTTTCCGTTAGTTAGTCCATTACTTAACTCCTTTGTCCATTGCAACCACTCGCTTCCACCAATAGGTCCCACCATGTCCTTTTTGTCTTCATTGTCTATAGCTTTATCTACCAATTTCAAAAATCGGCCCGCTGGGAGTAGTTCTGCTTGAATGTGCCTGCTGCCTGGCCCCAAAACATATTTCGCCGTAATGGAGATGTTAGACCGTGGGCCAGCAGGGGGTAACCCTCCCCCCCCCCCCCCCCCCCCCCCCCCCCCCCCCCCCCCCCCCCCCCCCCCCCCCCCCCCCCCCCCCCCCCCCCCCC